ATACAAATGTTTTTTCCCGCTAACTCCCGTTCCCGTGGGAATATTGCAATATCCTGTTGTAACTAAGCTTCAAGTTTACTAAGGTACCTACATGCCAAATTTCAAGCGTCTAACTTAAGCGGTTTAGATTTTTCATACAAAAGTATTTTCCCACTAATTCCTGTTCCCGTGGGAATTCCTAAGTATACTATAACCTGCCCAGGAGTATGAAAAATAATTGTACCAAGTTTCGTTAAAATCCGTCGAGTAGTTTTTGTTTCAATAAGGAACATACAGACGGACAGACAGACAGACAGACAGACAGACAGACAGACAAAAATTTTACTGATTGCATTTTTGGCATCAGTATCGATCACTAATCATACCCTGATAGTTATTTTGGAAATATATTTCATGTACAGACTCAAGTCTGTACGTCTCAAGTGAAGTCAACTTCACTACAGATTTATTATAAGTATAGATAGATTATTCTTCTTTCGTATTTAAATTTCCTGGAAAAGTCAAGTACCTAATAAAAACAAACAATAAATTATATGACATTAGAATCTTAATTTATCCTTCAATATTATCGCAAGAAAATAAAAATAAACTGAAAACTGGAGTATATAATTGAAACGCATTTTCCTTATTAACTTTTCCTCAAACAAAAACGTTTAATATTGTACGGATGATTATTCTAAGAACTAAGTCAGTGCGAAGGGGATTTTTAATATTAGAAGTCCGGATTTTAATATTACCATTGTTAATAAAACTTTCAAAGGAGCTAAGGATGATTACGGTAAAGTAGGCTTTTTAATTTCCTAGCTTTGCCCTAATACATAATTTTGCAAAATACATATTAAGTTGTTTGATTTGTACAGGCGCTTCTCATTTACAAGGATATTACAGAGTGAACAAAATATTATTACACTACATGCAAATATTACCCTACTAGGTGGACCGACGATCTGGTAAAGGTCGCGGGAAGAGCCTGGATGCGGGCAGCGCAGGACCGTGCATTGTGGAAAACCTTGGAGGAGGCCCAGCAGTGGACGTCATTTGGCTGAAACGAACGAACGAACGATGCAAATATTACTTATAATAAGTACCGCGACTTCGTACGCGTGGACCCCGTTTTACCTCCTTAGGGGATGAATTTTACAAAATCCCGTCTTAGTGAGCACCTACGTTCTAAAATGAACCCCCGTTTCTGAGATTTAGTGATGAGTGAGTCAGTCAATCAGTGACCTTACGCTCTTATTAGAATAGGCCCGGTTGTTAGTTTCGTTCGATATGACTATGAAAAGGATTCCGTTGATGCGTCTTGCTTGACACAACATGTCCGATAAATATAAATTCGCCTTGAGCCTTGTTATCTACATTTTTCATTATTTTACATCATACAACATAATTATCATCATCATCAACCTTAGTTTCTCTGCTAGACCTGTGGTTGACTGGCAGGGAATGCCACCCGGCATTAAGTCCGCCGTACATCAGTATTATTTGCAAAAGTTTAAATAAATAAATAAATCATCATCATCATCATCGAGTCATTTAGTAGCCTCCTCTTATCAGACATCCAAGGAAAAGGAGAAGGGGTGTAAAAGTTTTATTCATCAAACACGCGACCTAAAATAAAACACCCACCTATCTATACACAAACGTGTACCTAAATGTTCGGGGCTTTATTCATGCCCCTCAATTTAGGCCGTGATTTCCTTTTAACACTGCGAGTGCAAAGTCTAAAATCAATATGTCCCAATTCCATCAAAGGGAATACTTACCAATCCTGGAGGGAACGTGCGACGAAACGGCTGCCTGTCACACCGACGCGTAATCGCTTTCATTTTTCTTGAAAAATTTTACTGTGAACTTTTTTTAAACTGACGCCCGTATTCACAAACATTACTATGAGGTCTCACAGAGCGCGGTGACGCACAGGGTGACACAGAGCTCTATTCAACGCTGTGCGTTCCATTTGTTGCTTCACAAGCAAGCATCGTTTGTGAATACGGGCGTTAGTTTGTATAGAAAGTTCTATCATGCAGGTTTAGTTGATCATTAAATAACCTTAGTTACCATGGTAGTAGGGGCCAGGGTGTGGCCAAAACACGGTTGAAGGATGGTTTTTTTTTGTGTTGAGCGGCTATTCTGGTCCCAGTACGACCGGTACCGATCTATTGGGATCGCCACTAGTTTCCTTACAGTTCGCCTCCAATTCCTGCATCCATTAGATAGTACAGTATCTTTTGGGGGTGATATGACTCTTCACATCTTCTTCTTTTGTTTATGGCCAGGTCTGGGATAATTAAGGGGGTCCACAGTGAACTTTATACGTCAAACCAGAATGATAAGGAAATTGCTCGGCTGTTTGTGCTATACCTAATTCACACTGCACAGTTTTCAAATGTTCAACATGAAGTTTTTCCATGTCATCACTTCAAATTTTTTCTTGTAATATAATATTTCTACGGCCCTTCAATACTTTTCAATAAATTTTTCCACCTCCTATTGTTACGAAGATTAGCATGACCATAAAATTTTGGTGTAAACTGCTTGACCGCCAATTCAATTTCGGTGTGACAGTCGCCCAAGGGCCGTAATATACGCAAGCAAAGATCTAAGATAAGTGGCAGCATTGCCTATTTTTCTCCCATTTACCCTAAAAGCCCCACCCATCTTTCAACTATATTTATTACTTCAACCTTTCTTTTGCCCCTGATTTAGGCCCTCGCCTCTCGCTATCTTAATTGGTGAAGTTCCCTGGAGATATCAATGTTTATCTGTGTGTTTGGGGGAGATTTTTTGTTTATTCTATAGGACTGTATCTAACGCCCGTATTCATAAATATTTCTATGGTCTCACATTGCGCGTGGACGCACAGAGTGACACACGAACCAATCACAGAGCTCTATTCAACGCTGTGCCTTCGATTTGCTGCTTCACTAAGCAAGCATCGTTTGTGAATACGGGTGTATATCTATGAAAGCGAAAGGTCACTGACTGACTCACTCACTCATCACGAAATGTCGGAAACTACAAGTGCTAGGAGTCTCAATTTTGCATGGGGGTTCCTTTTAGAACGTAGGTGCTCACTATAAGACGGGATTTTGCAAAACTCTGCCTCTAAGGGGATAAAGCGGGATCCACACGTACGAAGTCGCGGGCGGCCGCTAGTACAGGGAGGCCCAGAAGAAAATTCACTTTTGAAAATTCAAGGAAACTAAAACCGTACATTTTTGTAGAACTTTAACTATTGCAATTTAAAGGAAAGCCCTAATCTCACTCCAGAAAATTCTTTTTTATGGTGTTACCTTAAGAATAGAGTATACTTTTATAATCCAACAACCATGCAGCAACTGAAGCTGAGCATTTGGCAAAAAATTTAAAATAGGTTTCGAGGTAATTCTAACGAACGCATTTCAAGATTTTGAGATATGTTGATCGAATGTTGTAAGCGTCAAGGAAATCTCCCGGGCGATGTAATTTAATAAAGGTAAAAAAAATAAATTGCATTAAATTTCTTTTGAATTGCAATTGTTAAAGTTTTACAAAAATGTACAGTTTTCGTTTTCTTGAATTTTTAAAAGTGAATTTTCTTCTGGGCCACCCTGTACTTATAAAAATAAAGGCACGTATATGTAATCTTGTATTATAGTATGAGCCGAGAAATCTTCTTCATCATAAAATGAAGATCACACCACCTACAACCTCTAGTAGTTACAGTGACAGTTCGTGACAGTTTTAATTAGCTGCGGTTTTTTTGACGTAGCCACTTCTGTCACTAATATTACTTTGCATGGGAGGCTGGTGTAGGCTTTAGGACACTGTAGGAGTCTGACAGCTTAATCAGACCAATCATTTGATGACCTCAGAGATACCAATCGTAGAACATAATTTTTTCGTATACAGGCTGCTCAAAATTTTTGGTTTTTCGCTTTTTATTGCAACAAACGCACCATAAAATTTTGATTCGCCATAGATACGAGATACGGCTTGATTGGACAGGGCAATCAAGCTGATGAAAGTCTGCATCCAAAACAAAACATAGCCTGAAAATAACACTGTGTGATCCATATCGCCAAAAACCTATGACCAACTGACGTACCTACTTTTTATGTCTGTCAAAAAGTTTTGCTCTCCACTAACATTGCAATAACCTACGTAGTAATGGGTTATTAATTTAGGTTCAATTTGTTTAGATGTAAATAGAACACAAGCAATAAAGAAATTAAATTTGAGTATGTTAATGTGATTCTCTAATTGATTTTGTAGCAACACAAGCCGATTTTTTATTTCGAAGTCGCCAATATTCTTCATTTAATTAATTGTTATTGATACAAATGTCAAATACCCAATTTATATGCTTCAAATTCAGGTAAATATCCCTAAACCGTAGCGTACATTCCCTAAACAATTTATAACAAAATCACCCAGCAAGTTCCAACAGAGTTCTGTAAAACCAACAAAAATGTAATCGTTTCTTTGTTCAAGTCCCGAACAAAGTAATCAAGGTACAATGTTATTCGTAGGTGAATAACTTCACCCTCATTCCAGTAAAATCTCATTTCCCCCATAAACAAGGCTTGCAAAATATTCTACAAGGTCACGCAATGTATTTACATAATATTAAAATATAAAAGTTTCATCAGATGTTGTTTACGACCTTTTTAAATTCCCTTCATCTCTATTTTACGTTTTTTAAAGCTTGCTCGCTTCAAATGAACGACTTTATGCCTGAAATCTCGTGGGAAAACGTAATAAGTGCAATTTAAGGATTGACGAAGTAAAAATATGATGATTCTGTACACTGAATTAACTTGATGGTTCAAAAATATTTTTTGTGAATGATAAATCGTTGGGAATTTTTTGCCTCAGAAATTATTTTACTAATGTATTTAAATTTCCCTTCTATGATCTGAGATTTAAATCCATACCTTTACTAAGTTACAATGAACATTTTTACACCTTCAAGGTCAGAAAAATTGCAGATTTTAAGGTAAATGAAAAACACTAAATTTTTGCAACTATGAATGTACTTATTGCATATAAAATAACTACACTACTTAACAATTAAAGTTACAGCTAGCTTAACTAAGTAATATCACATATCATCAGCGACATTTTCATAATAATACATGAAAACATTCCTATAGAAACGTTATACATTTTTGGCAAGCAATACGCAATCGAATCACAGATAATAATTTCAATTATTGACAATTAATATTATTATAATACAAAACTATGTGCACTATTGAGTAGACTCCGCATTGTGGTAATAATAAACATAAATAAATAAAGTAAGTACTGTCCAATAAATAACACTGAAAGGCAAATGCATTAATCAAATGAATCTTATGATACTGTAATGTAAGTACAATCTCGTATAATATCTGTATTGAAAATCTTCTCGTAGACACAAAAAGATCAACTAAAATTTGAGTCACAAATCTAAAAGTTACTTAATATTACCTACCGAGGAAAAAATTCAATAGCCAAATACAACATACTGATAATAATCCAGATGGATAACTTATTGCACTAGCAGCAGACGTCGTATTGTTAATAACAACCACAGGCCACCAATGGCTGATAGAAATGACGTCATTGTTAGGCTTCTCTGTAGTGGCATGTTCTAACATGTTATCAGGCATGTAACTGCCACAAGTAGGGAAGTTCCTAGGAACAGGGGCCATGTCTTTATGCTCACCCACTTTGAAGACCAGAGCCATGCCCACTTCAACATGAAATTCGATATGGCAATGGAAAAGCCAATATCCTGGGTTGTCTGCTTTGAACCTAATGACAGTATAGCCACCATCAGGAACTGTAACGGTGTCTTTGATCGGTGCATTCTTCAGATTCCTTTTGAGAAGACCAGCTTCGTCGAACTCTTTGACTTCATCAATAGTTGTTTCATTAGCTAGCCGTCTCATTCCTACAACTCTGAAACTGTGGCCGTGTAAATGAAAAGGGTGGTTTGCGTCAAAAGTGACTCCTTCGTCCAAGATGATGACTTCGACGACCGAGTTCAGTTTGACGGAGAGAACGTGCGAGCATTCGCAGTACCCTTCTTCGCAGGCCTCGTCGATGCTGGAGCTGTTACAGAAGTTGTCAGCAGACGGCCTGGTGATCATCAGAGGGCTCGAAGGCATCTTCATGCTGATGTGGTTCAGTTGAGGAGTGTATAAACGATTGGATTTATTTGGAACTGTAACAAAAGAAGATGAATTGTTATTAGGTACCTTAGCCATGTTAGTTCCCCTACCAGAGGAAGCTTAAGATTTAGGTGAACCAGTTTTGAGTTTACCCATGGCAATTTGTAAATGAAGAACATTTTATAACAAGATTCCTAACAATATAATTTGGACATGAAAACTGTATTTTACTGAAATGACCACGGAGTACGGAGACTATGGAGTCTGACACCCGATATAGGTTTTCTAGGTCTACATCAATCCCATTTTTCCGATGGAAAATTAAGGTAGGTACAAAATTCAATACAGTCCAAAACAAAAAAGCTGCTAACTTCAACTGAAACCTTGGGGGGAGGCCTTTGTACAGCAGTGGACGTCATTTGGCTGAAACGAACTTCAACTGAGACTCTTGCGCTTTAAATTATTTTCTAAAATTATTTTTCCTAACAATTAACTGACCCAGCGCACTTCGAGCTGCCTGGCGATAATAATAGTCAAAGAATTTCTCAAATCGGTCCAGTAGTTTCAAAGCCTACTCAATACAAACAAACAATATTAGTGAAGACTTTCTGACTCTAAAGATCTTTATATTCTGACTTCGTTCGTTTGTTCGTTCGTTTCAGTCAAATGACGACAACTGCTGGACAAAGGCCTCCCCCAAGGTTTTCCATAATAAACGGTCCTGTGCTGCCCGCATCCAGGCTCTTCCCGAGACCTTTACCAGATCGTCAGTCCACCTATTAGGAGGCCTGCCCACGCTACATCTTCCAGCCCGTGGTCGCCACTCGAGAACTTTCCTGCCCCAACGGCCATCGTCTCTACGAGCTATTCCGACTTACCTTGATAATATCCATAATACGGAGACCTGTGGTAGTGCGAGTTGTTCTTAGCGTAGAAGTCGTACGCGATGTAGAAACGGTAATCTGGTATCTCCTTCAGGCTGTCATCGTAGCCAGCTAAAGACTTCATCTCAGCCACGCTGATAGTCTCGTCTTCTTCTTCCCCTTTGTTCAGGGCATTTAGTTGCTGTGGAAGAAAACGGACTTGAAACAAACCGTACAGAGATAATTTGACAAGTTTTATGGGCTACAGATCCTTAGTATAAAAAATTTAAAGAACACCACAGCTACATGGATTATAGGAATGAGATATAGGATTAATTCCGTTTAAAGGACGTTTCATATTATAATTTTATCAACCCGAAAAGGGATCGTAATCGTATCAACTCGAGGCAGTCAGTATTCTTTGTATGAAACTCCATACTGCAACGCACACTTATCCGTAACGTAAACACCTCGCCTCGCGGTTGACAGCGCGTGAAAGGCGATGACAGCTCGCGAAAAGTGATACGGTGTTGATCCCTTTCCGAGTTGATACTCGTAAGTCTGCTATGTCTATACAGGGTGTTAGGTAAATGGGTATATGAGCCGACACTAGCCCATGTTAACATGGTCATTTATATGGTATGGTGAAGTCAGAAAATTGATATCTTCATTTTAATTATTTTAATTTTCATACAAATCGGAATTTATAAAATTTCTGACTTCACCATACCATTTATATGCCCATGGGCTAGTGTCGGCTCATATACCCATTTACCTAACACCCTGTTTAACTTAATAGTCGACACACAAATATCCTTGAAGCCACAGTTCGGTTAACGTGTTCGCTCAGTTCCGTCACGGAACTAACGGACGTCTGAAGCTACGTAAACTGAAGACTGACATATTGTGTTAGCTGTATCACTGACGCATCACTGAAACACTGATACTGAACTAGCCGAACACGTTAATGGCTTCACGGATATTGTGAATAGATGCTAGTTGAAGCTTTTAAGAAACTATAGGAAACGCCAGGAAGTAGCAATATTTTGCTTTCTTTTTTTGCAAATAGTGACGTAATGCTTGGAAAATAATATACCTAGGCATGTTTTGTCCTTATTGCTTATTCCTATACCTTATGCTTTTGTAGAAATATCAAAAATGCATAAATATTGCTCTCCCAAAAGATTGGAAAAGGTATATTTTTCAATTTCGATGGGTTCAAAGGCTCAAAAACAACTTGCAGACGGCGTTGGAATTTTAAAATCTTCTTTACCAAAGCCACAAGTACTCGTGTGAATAATTTAACACTCCAGGGAATAATTTCGGGACTCCGTATTGTGATAAACTTTACATATTTTGTTGCGTTACGAGTATTTCTGTCTAATATCTTATCAGTAACCATAAAGGCGAATGAAAGGAGGAAAGTGAACGTAATAGATATGTAAATAACGATGGTATTTTAGGAACACAATATAAGCAACTAGGGATTGGACATTACCGTTAAGAGATGTTTTTTAGATCTGTTCTTTTAAAAATTGATAGACTTAATAATTTTAAAAGAAGAAGAAAATAATACTACTAGACAGACAGAGGTTAATTTATACATCATCGCAACGATCATTATTTTAAATTCGTCAATTTATCGAGAAGGCACTTATCGTTAATCATTATTTTGTGAAAAATGTCATTTTGAAAATGCAAATGCAAAAGGATCCATCGCATGAAAGCTTTTTGGCTTAATTTAATTTATTTTTATTTAAATATAGTTTTAAAATAAACAGATATTTAAAAGCCTCTGTAAGACTACTTATACTACCTGAAATTAAATAAAATTGAGATTTGATTAAAAAAATTGTTACTCAAAAACACCTGACCGAGTTTTTAAAAAAGCCTAAAAAGGGTAAGCTCCTCTAACTCGAGTATCTAAATCGTAAAGCGATTATTCTAATAATCCACCTTAGCCTGATAGCTTGGCGAGGCGCCAGCCAGTGCTGGGACTGCTAATGTGAATGCCGATATCGATACAAAAGCATCGACATTAGCGGTTGGCTTTCGTGATCAACGTGACGTGATTGTGTTAATAGCGTCAACCCCTAAATTTTATTTTATAAAAATGGAATACCGTTATTATCAAAGCAGATCAAAATATAAAAAGTTTTGTATGATATTAACATTGCGATCGAAAAAAAATAGTTGATACAATTCGTAACAGCTGATCACTTGTATATTAATAGTACAACATAGTTTAGAGAAATGATATTTACTTGACAAAAAGTATAGTTTTGTTGATTGGACTAAATCGGATCAGACTAGACGTGTCTTCTTAATGCTGTTAAATGGAATGAAATAATGTATTTTTAATGGTTTATTGATATCGATGAATATTATAAACTAACATCACTAAACCCCCCGTTAGCGATGGGGTGATTTCGCATCTGCAAGCCATTTGATTTTGCGAGCTGCGTAAATGCGCTGCGATAAGAGACGTCTCAACTGCTGGGCCTTTTTAACCGACTGAAGAAGGAAGGTAATGTTTATGAGTGCTTCGTGTAGTTATGTTTCATTGTTATAGTATATGACCATTGTGCTTTAGAAAAAATAAACTACTTATAACCAGTGACTTTTTATTTTAAATAATATTTTTCACTCTAGCCCTGAAAACCAAGACTCGGGTTGTCAATTGTCTGTAAAATTAGATTTTTGATTCAGAATCCACTTTAAAGTGTCGAAAAGTAAAGTCACTTTTCGACAGCTCATAAAAAGTATGTCAATTGACTAGTGATGTCAGTGGTAATTAACAAATTACCATTGAAAAGTCAAAACATTACATTCACATTACACTATTACAGCACAGAATAATAATAAGTACTACGTACAGAAGTTTTACTTCGCGAAGGTATTTAAAAAATGTATGCTCAATGTCATTAACAATATGGTGTAATTTAGCCTGTATCAAGAGTAAAGCACCATTTTGTTAACAAACGTCAGTGATCGGCACTGCGCCGAAGCTATAGGGCTGACTTCGGTAAAATGATGTGACGTCGTGAGTGAGGTGCCAAACTGCGGAAAATGGCGGAGGAAATACATGATTTAGCATGAATTATCATGAATAATATTAACTACTTATTTACCTCTCAGTGTCTAGAGGCAACTTAAAAAAGTACATTCTGTGTTTTTATTATTATTTAGGCAGTTAAATACTGCACAGTATTTAGTACACCATTTTCTTTATTTTCTTCCATCATACATAGGAATACGCGTGCGTGAGTCAATGTTCGCTCGTATGTGAGGCCTTGTCGAATAGTATCCTGTAGGTGGGCCATCGTGCGTGTTTTGTTTTCGATGTAAACTCGCGGAGATGAACAGGCCTGATTACAGCGACAGTCCCACATACGATTAAGGACCTATAAAATATATCGGGACTGTTCCCACCTCTTGTTCCCACTGTGAGGCCAGGATCTACAGATTGACCGCCAATAAATACCCAATCATTGAAGGCTAGTAACTAAGTGCCCATAGTACATAGCTACAGCAGATACATTAATATAGCCTTATTAAACAGCGTTATCATTCCTGAATTTCTCTTTAATCCACCATAAAAAGTGATTTATGTTATTTGTCGTTTTATTTATGAAAACATGACGTCACGTCACTTTCAGTGCTAAGTTCATTCATTACAGTGCCACTGCGCCGTGTGTCGTTTGCTTCGACGTCACTCATGGTTATTCGATTTGCTTGGCTCTACAGAGGTGGTACAGTCAGACACATGTCTTTAAAATATAAAACGTCGGGTGTTAAAAAAACCTTTTTTCCCCACTGCTGCATTCGCAGTTGAGCAGTCAAAAAAGGAAAAAAAGAACTTTGTTCGGACGACGGCGAAGTTTAGAATAAACACTGCATAAAATTGAAAGTGGTATTTCAACAACAATGTAGTTAGAAATGCTATCGACTACTTCGTGGCTGAATGTGATTTTTTCATTTAGTGTGATTTTTTGTATTTAAAGAGTTAAGTTTTCATAGAACAATTTACAAATAACAATTTTCAATTGTGTTTACTTCACGAAAATTGTATTATGCAAAAGTTTATCAGCTAACACTTAAAAAATATTAAGTAGCAATAAAATTAAATCATTTAAAGAATTGAAACAACTTTTATCAGCTTTTTTCCTGACTTACTTCACAAGAAAGGGTATTCGTGTAACATATCGTATCACCTTTCGAACCTGCCTTTGAAACAAATAGTACTAGTATGTCACACTTTATTAAATAATACCAATAATAATTTGGTAAAGAAAGTTTCAACTATCGCAATTTAACCGTTATCAAAATCTTTCAAACTGTACAGCAAGGAAAAACTTCCAAAGAGTATAAAATATCAATGGCGAAAACAGAAAACCCTACCCTTACATTTTAGAACTAGCGCCAGTATTTTTACTACATACCCATAGAAGCACTTTGCCCTAATATTAAAGTGATAAAAATATAACGATCAGCTTTATTTGTACTAAAATAAAGTATCGATTCTGACTGATGATATTACTTAGGAGTTGCAATCACAGGGTTTTGGAGATTTTATTATCCTACGTTTTACTACTCGATATTTTTTTTATTTTCATTTTGATTCTCATTTGTTATTTTTACAAGTAACAGTTGGTAGCTTTTATTTAATTCCTCTTACGTTAGTCAGTAACAATCAATCTTTGCTACTTCTTATTCTGGCTTAGTTGTGTTGGTTTTTTTTTTAAATTAGAGCCTTTGTTATGCTTTGCCAAAAGTGCTATTATACTCAAGTTGCAAGACGGTGTGCTATTTTTCGGGGTAAGTTGGATTACTATGCGCGCATGGACACTTGCGCGAAAAGACGCGCGAATGGACGTTAGCGCAAAAGACACGAGCACGAAAGACACGAGCACGAAAGACACTACCAAGAAAGACGTTTGCGCGAAAGATACTAAGCCCGGTCCGTGAGCACGTAGAATTTTGTCCAATGACCCCTAGCTACCCATCCTTATCGCTCGCGCGTAATTATATTGCTGTCGCGACTGTGCGACTGGTACCCGCAGTGAGTGTGCGAGGGCGATAGCAACATAATTACGCGCGAGCGATAAGGATGGGTAGCTAGGGGTCATTGGACAAAATTCTACGTGCTCACGGACGAGGCTTTAGCACGCTTGGTTTTTTATTTTTTTATTTATTCATCATATTGTAGAGGTTGGGAAGATAAACCATTATAGAGAATTTGACCTACACTCCACCCTGGTCAGACAGGTTGGGGAGATAATAATGTTCACCTATTTGTCAATTAGTCGCCTTTTACAACATCCACTGGAAGGGTAGGAGTGATTCTACTTTGCTTTACCGAAACCACAAAAATAATCACTACGCTAAAGAAAATCCGAAGGTGTGAACAGGGCCGGATCGTGAATTTGTGGGGCCCTGGGCTGAAACTTGGGGGGGCCTCTCTTAGTACTCAACTAATAGCCATGCCAAAAAACTGTATTATTCTTATACATATATTTTTATTGCACAAAAAACATAAATATTACTTAAATCTACGCAAGTATTAGTTGTACAAAAGGCGACCTTATTGCTGTGTAGCAATCTCTTCCAGGTAACCTTTGGGTGAGAGAGAAACCGAAATAGAGATGTACAGTCACGGAATGAACAGGTTCGTCAGTTTTCAAATTGATTCCTTCAACGAATCGCGAACACATATTACCTTTTGAAACTATGTTACAGAATAATCTCGAGTTAGAGAAAATAATCTTTAACTGTTCGTCAGTAAAGTTCAAAATTATTGATCAAAGTTGTTTGACGATTTATCTTGTCAAGAAGATTATTATGATTGATAAACTAAAACCTTCTTGTTGGTTCAACCTGCCATTATTATTTCTTTAAATAAAAAAACCTATTGTCAATTGGTCAATGTCATCATTGCATTGCACTGATGGGATAGAAAAATAAACAAGCAAAACCTTATTCGTTAGCAAACGTCATATTTATTTAAATGTTAGCAGCAATGTTTCTTGTACTGTTATGTTGGCAGGTTTGACTCTTACAGTACCTAGTGCAAGCGAAAACCGACACTAAGGTGACGAACCTTTTCATTCTGCGACTGTACATTGTATAAAAGAAAATAAAAAACAACAAAATAATTTTATTTATTTATTATGCATTTATTAGTAAAAGAAATTAAGTATAATTTCTAAATTAACCTTTCTACATTTTTGTGCTGCAAATTTTTTTATTTGGTCATCGCATTGCAAGTCTTTTGTTAAATCACAATTTATAGACAGAAGTGATAAATGGTTTAGTCGAGAGTTCGCCATTGTTGTCCTATATTTATTTTCTATACAGTGTGAGTCACGATAAAGTGTACATATGAAATTAGGTGAAACTAGACCTATTTTTATCGACAAAAAACAGGTCAAATTTTTTTAAAGATTTTTTTAATTTTTTTATAGATTTTTTTTCTTCCAATTACTTGTTGTAAAGAAAATAAGTAATTGGAAGTAATAACTTTTAAACTAAGAGGTATATCCTGATAAAATAAAAACAGTAATAATCCTAAAAAACAGACGATCCTAAAAAAAATGCATAAAATACTCAGAAAATTCCGACAAATAATAAAAAATAATACTTTATGAAAAAAATCTGCTCTAAAATTCGTGTTTTTTTGGTTATTTGATAATTTTTTCCAAAAAATGCCCATATAACAGGTGGTTTTTATTGCTTTGTATTATTCTCTATCATATTACCTTTGTAAAACCGAAAATCGCATGTCTCTATCCCTATCACAATATTTGCTATGATAGTTTGAACAAAGGCCTACCACAACATTATTCTCCGCTACAGGTAGGGACAATTTTAATTTTAACTAAAATGCTTATTTTACTTCGAAATCTTTTGTTTTTATTTGAAATCTAACTTGTCTGTATCAAAATTACAAATCTAGAGCCATTTTCAGTTTCGTTGTTAACGAAGCGTTGAATGGCGCGCCCGGAGAGGCTTAGTTCAAACGATCATAGCAAATGTTGTGATAGGGATAGAGACATGCGATTTTTTGTTTTACAAAGGTAATACGATAGAAAATAATACAAAGCAGTAAAAACCACCTGTTATAGGGGGATTTTTTGCAGAAATTTATCAAATAACCAAAAAAACACGAATTTTAAAGCAGTTTTTTTTTTCAAAAAGCGACATTTTTTATTATTTGTCGGCATTTTCTGAGTATTTTGTGTATTTTTTAGTATCGTCTGTTATTTAACATTATTATTTTATCAGGATATACCTCTTAGTTTAAAAGTTATTACGTTTTCTTTACAATAAGTAATTGGCAGAAAAAAAAATCTATAAGAAATTTTTAAAAAATCTCAAAAAATATTTGACCTGTTTTTTGTCAATAAAAATAGGTCTAGTTTCACCTAATATCATATGTGCACTTTATCGTGACTTCGTGACTCACACTGTATAGGACATCTTTGAGAAGGAGCGTTCTGCTTCACAGCTAGTTATTGGTAAAGTTAAAAAAATCTTTAAAATGGTATAGCAATTAGAGAACACGTCAATTAGTTTATTTTCATACAAGATCATAAAAATGTCACTGCAAGAGTTGTAAGACTCTGGCTTAAATTGGAGTATAGTATGATTTTAATTGAATGCACTCATTCACTAAATGGTCGTCTACGTCATCTGGATAGTAATAAATAATATGACGTGCACTTTCCAAATCTATGTTTTTGATATTTTTGTCTTGCAAATCCAATAAAAATTAAATTTTTTTGCTACATGTCTCATAGACTTGGCTCCTTTTATTTAAGTCCATAATTAGCTTATCCAACGCAACATTTAACGTGTCCCTTTTAAATCTAACAAAACGAAAAACAGCATGAAAACAACCTTTTACACGTATTTCCCCCCTCAACTACATTCATAAAAGTATGCAATTTTTAATCAATATTTTCTTAAGGACGTTGTCACGTAAAAATATCGTCCGTAAACCGACTTTACAGATTTTTTTTTCAAATTATGGCCTACTTTTTAACGGGATCTGGGGGCCCCTTGTAACCCCGGGGCCCTGGGCTGCAGCCCAATCAGCCCATAGGTAGATCCGGCCCTGGGTGTGAAGGAAGCCTTGATAAGGTCAGCGCAGGACCGGTCATTGTGGAAACTTTGGGGAATCTTTGTCCAGCCGTGGACGGTATTTGTCTGAAACGAACGATAGAAAATACGGGTGTTTTCACTCACCAGCCCCTCATTAGTAGATTCTTCCCACGTCAAGTCACCTTCAGGCTCCGACTCCATAGCTCCTTCGTAGTGCAGCACACCCACTTGCTTGGCTTTGGTGAACCTGGTAGTGGAAATAGGATTTAGTGTCTCTTTTTACTCATCAAAGGGTGAGTAACAGAGATGGATAGAACAGATAAAGCAAAATCTTTTAGCAACGATCTTACTTAATGGCTTAGCCCTAGAACTTGGAGTATAGTGACGTCACTGACATTTTGCAGGCTCATTACAAAAGGTTCCTTTCTTAAGCAAAATTGTGTTTTGTTTTAAAGGTTGAATGTGCTATAATATTATATTACGAGTATGACACTAATTTAAACAGAAGTTGGTAAAAATAAGTATAATAATAAAAAATACCTAAAATAGCTAGCTCTTTAGCTTCGGTTTAGGATCCGCGCCGCGTCAAATTTTGTCGTGCCATTTATCAATTTTACCCGATAAGCTCAATCATTTGTCGTCGAAAATCATCAATAAGATTTTATCAAGGCGCGCATCGTACGTAGCTCGGCTAGTATAATCGTAGCAAACGGAACAATAGACTAAACTTTTTCATTGTAAAACAGAACTTGTTTCAACTACATAAGATGCCAGTGTTTAGCTTGATGCCATCTCCAATCTCCATACAACGCCATGCTTTCACAAAACAAGTAAGGGTCCTAGGACGTTGAAAACTCTTTGCAGATTGGACCTTTTCCAATAAACTCTAATAAATTTGCTGAGGGCTACAATAAAGTTCGCACTTTACACTTTCAGTTTAGAAGGAGACCTAAATAAAGTACACATTGTTCTAACTTGTGTTGTTCTTTGTTCTTTTTAAAGTTAGTAAGCTAATAGGATAATTATTTTTAAGTAGAAGACCGTCCTGTGAGGCAATTATGCCATAAAAGATATTTGGTTTTGCTAAATTCGAAAGAAACTAAACTTCAAATTTCTGCTATATAGTAATACGAATATTACAAACCACCATCAAAATATAATAGTTTTTTCATAGCATTGCCTTACGACAGGGATCGAACCCAGGACTTCATAAGAATCCATCATAGAAAGGTACAAAAATATCACATCAGACTATACATTTTTGCTTCAAATTGGTACCTATTGCAACAACATAAGATACTTTTTAGCTTGATGATACCATCTCTACCTATTATTTAAATACGTACCGTTCATCACAATCCATCAAGCCACGGAACCTGATCCAGTAGTTGTCAATTTCATTATTAGCTTCCAGAATAAAATCGTATCGTTCACCAGCGTAGGTCACCAAGGATGTTGCTGAAACAAACATGACAACATTAGGATGGAGTTTGTGAAACCTATTTGTAAAGTTAGCCTGGGCGCAGACCACCAACTTTTAGTTGACCGATAGTTGGGTCGGGCTATTAATCAGTATGGAGATGTATGAAAGCGCGCACATTACACCGATTTGGTATCGGCCAATTTTTCATACAAATTAAAATCGGGCCCTAAACGAAAACTAATTGTAAACCTAATCAATCGGCATGGGACACACTGAAAACCTTGGTCTTCGCCATGATATGATGCTGAATCTGTTTGGAATTGCAGTGGGCATCGTTATTGCGCCAGGGTGGAGTGCAGTGGCTCAATAGTTCGCTGTTTCCTCTTTCTTCATGATTTTTGTGCTACTACTATTATAAATATGTGACCCCAATAAATCTTTCTTTCTTTCTCCATACTGTAATAACTAAAAAAAATTTTCAGGGCTGAAGAAGGAAACTAGGGATAGAAATCATAACCTTCAAAAGCAAAATAATGTAGATATGTGCAGTACCTACTAGGTATAGATTCAAATATTGTATCGTTAACATTAATCTAAGTTATTATCAATTTAATTCATTAAACTTCCACAAGTAAGTTTCAACTTGAAATTCAAAATTTAATCAGTCATAATGCGAAAGGAATCGCGGTCAAAGTTTAGTTATAATTCTTAATTAAAACTCCAGTTTCGCCCCAGTTTTGGGTGACCCTCAACAGGGCGTAAAATGGCTAGATGTAATAAACCAGACAGACTGATTCAAGCCTAAAAACCCTTACTAAACTATAAACAATAATTACAGAAGTTTGTTTTTGTATGTTCCATGCACCAAATTACTCAGAATTGCTAAAATCAAGTGCACATAGTTCACACCTACCGGGCACATAGCTCGCAGAGCTAATGGCCGATGGGACAGAAAAGTTCTCGAGTAGCGACCACGGGCCGGAAGACGTACTGTGGGCAGGCCTTCACTAGGTGGACCAATGATCTGGTGAAGGTTGCGGGAGGTGCCTGGATGCGGGCGGCGCAGGACCGGTCGCTGTGGAAATCCTTACGGGAGGCATTTGTCCAGCAGTGGACGTCAATTAGCTGAAACGAACGTAAGCCCATACGACTGAATCTCCTATCTGGCTAGCATGGGGTTTGTAGGCTAAATCCTTCACCTACCTCTTTAAAATTAGAGAGGAGCACTACCCTCTCTAATTTTAAGAGGTAGGTGAAGGATGCAGTAGTGGACCTGATGATGTTAGAACGATTTTAGATACTCGGTCTTTGATATCTAAACTTTCAAACGTTGTCCTTTTCAACGGCTCTCCCTTAAGCATTATCAGTGCCATTGCAATCAAAAATGGACTCTATGCTCTTGGTAAAAAGCTCAACAGCGACTGAGCAGTTTGCAGGGCTATTTTGGGATAGGGTACAATTTACGAATGATTTAGATTGGATTGTAAATGGTGATTAATTGCTATGGTTTAGTCTTTGTCCCATGGAACGTTTAGTTTGTAGCAGTTGGACCCGCGCTGACAGATGGTTAAACTGTAATGATTTATCTGACAATATTGGATGGTGTTATGTTTTTAAATTAATGTAATACCGATAAAACGGCACAATAACAAAAATGTATAGTCTGGAATGCTGTCGTCTATAATTTAGTATCATAGAACTACAATGTTCTCCTTTACGTTAAGCAAACAACTGCTTGGGGTTCTTTCTTATCTTATCTCTCAGATACTTGAAAATAAAAAAATCCGTATTTTTCTCTAGTTATCTACAAATCTTCCTTTCTTCTCCATCCTCCTTCCTCCCTTTAATTTCTCCACTTCTTTAAAAAAATACATACACTTCACCCATAACACAAGCATAATAATATAAGGTGCTTACTTTGGTGCTAGCTGGCGCTGTGTGAAATTTTCCAAAGATTTATTTATTACTAGCTTTCCGCCCGCGGCTTCGCCCTCGTGGAATTTTGTCTGTCACAGAAAAACAATATCGCGCGCGTATTTGCTCACCGTTTAGACCTACCCTGGACTACGACAAACATTTTAAAACGAAAAATCAGCGCAATCGGCCCAGCTGTTCTCGAGATTTAATCAGACTAACGAACATAAATTCATTTTTATTTATATACTTAGATAGATAGATTATTTACTTATCATATGAATTTTTTTGTTGTTCTACGATACTAAAGTGAGGTCTATTAAATTAAAATGAAAATTGAACGGAAAAGGACATTGGGAACTTTAATATGAGAAAATGCCCCACGGCGGACAAAGATGAAACGTATTTTATTTCAAAGCTTTATACTTGTAGGTATATTCACTTAAAGCGCTATGTTGTGAGATATGGGAATTCTGAGATATGACGAGTCATAGTTGAAAATATATTTGCCTAAAATGATTTGATATTTTTACATGTTATGTTGTTTGGCATTGCAGAGTAACCAATAAAAGTAAATAAAATAATATAAATAAATAAAAAATATAAATAAAATAATATAAATAAATAAAATAATATAAATAAATAAAATAATATAAATAAATAAAATATTATAAATACTTAAATTAATATTAGACAACATCTCATATATTACTCCAACCCAAAATAAGTAGCTAAGGCATTTGTGTTATGGAAATCGGGAACGACGAACCACAACACACCCAAACCAGAGACAATGTGAAAAGATCGTTTTCTATATTGTCCCGGCCGGGAATCGAACCCGGGACCTCAGGATTGGCCCGGCACACCTTGAAAACCGGTGTGTGCGCCTCTCCGCCACGGAGGTCGTCAAAAATATTACCTAAATGTAAAATAAAATAAAATATTAAAACTTCATTTTCTCAATACTCCCATATAAGAGAGAAAAAAAAATGCACGGAAATTCATTAGATATTAGTATGTATAATCTGTGATAGGTTTCGTTTGTGTCCGCTACTTTTCGAAAAGTGGGGCAAAAAGTTCCCAATGTCATTTCTACGAGGTCTCTCGACAAAACTGACAGACTACATACTACGTATGTTAAAGCTCATTAGACTATGCATGTTTGTTGAAAAGTCGATTCTATTACAACTACATACGGCCACAGGGTTTAGCTTGATGTCATCCTCACTCTAAACGTGGCAAACAAGAAAATTTCTGAGAAAAACTACAAAAGAGCAGCCGTCCTTTCATCTCTATGTAATCGACTCCGGCGTTCCTAAAAGAAAGCGACTAATGAGAGTGTACCAGGATAACGTGTACAGTGAAACACTTACTTCACTATAATTCACTGTTTCAACTAACCTTCAAGGGGCTTAAGCATTATTACAAAACACATAATAAGTGTGTTAACTTTTACGCTCCTTCTGTCGTAGTCGGGTAAAAGTTAAACGCCCGTTGAACATTATGTTTAAATTGTCATTAGTATGTATAAAAATGTTATTTTAAACCAAAGTTCAACGTGTGTTTAACTTTTTTGTAATAAGCCCCAAATGACGAGTGTAATAATTAATTATTTAGCCTATCCTACTACTATTATGAAATTAAATAAGTATGAAAGTTTTTGAGGAGGGATGGATGGAAGTTTGTTACTCTTTTTCGCTTAAAAGCCACAGTACCGATTTAGATGAGGTATACAGATAGTTCGAGACCCAGGGAAAAATGTAAGATAGTTTTTCCCCGGTTTTAAGAACTGAACTGACCTGTTTTGTGACAGATATCAACGCAGGCTAAGCCCAAGCTGTAAAAGCTTTTTATTAGCTTTTGTATAGCGATTTTGTACCTTGCAAGCTTCAAGTTTCTTGATACGTACTATACTGGTACTATAAATCTTGTGGGCAAGCCCTATACCTACTACCTACCTACCACAATCAATTCACAGCTTGGTCCGATCCCTTTATATCGGTCCTTGAATAGGCCCAATTGTCTCTAGCTTCATTGTCCATTGAATGATAAGACACTATAATTGTCCGCAAAGCCGATTGTGGACCACATCCGATTCTCGATTAAATAAGGATCGATTGGTATCGATTTGGTTCAAATAGGTAGATTGTACAGTTGACAGCACCTCGGACTTATACATTGTTACAAAATCGGATTAAAGATGAACTACAAACAATAAAAGGGGGGCGCCATCGTCAATACCGGATCGCTGGTTCCGATTTTTGCCACGTTTTTTTTTAAAGATTATTAGCTATTTGTATTGCCCAAATTAGCTATTTGTAAGTCCCATTAGCCCCTCGTGTTAAGCTAAATAAGCTTGTGTTACGAGTGGGCTCACCACAATAATCGAGGGACGGTGGGATTCGAACCCGCGTTCTTCGGATCTCGAGTCGGCCACTCCTTGGAAACCTTGTGGTGGTGGCGCCTTCAGCTTCCTGTCAATGTGTTTAGTGGGACAGTTCAGTGTAGTTCATCTATACATACACTTGAGTCATAAGATTCCGTTTGTTTACGTTGACAATGTACTTTCGTAAAGACAATAACAAACTAAAGACATAAAATTACGCCAAGGGAATGTAACCTACACCAAGATTTATATAGAGCAAAAATACAGAATGTCCTAGTATAAACAAGCAATGTTGCTTATCAATTTTCAATTATTGCACAACCTAAATACAATACCTACTCGTAAAAGATGAAGCAGGAGTGCAGGTAGATTAAATTATTCCATTTGTAACTACTAACCACACAGAGAATCCTTACTTTACTGCTAACATGTATACTTTTGAATTAAATTTTTATTATTATAATTTATCGATTATTCGATAACGAATCGATCTGTCAATGAACCCTTATTTTTTCAACGAAGACGTTTTAAGTAAACTTTGTGGTGCCTAAAAAAGGCGCTTCTTTGACTTAATAAGACCTTATTCTCCGACTTACTCTTCCAGCAACAACTAGGTTACCCTACCATATTATCCGCTACAATTTAGCGTATCATTTTTCCATAGTAGCGGGCCTGGAGCCTCTTTGACCGTCCATTTGAATAATGTATCAGAGAAGTCCAACAGAGAGCCTAGACGAGGCCTTGTTTTGCTATAAAATATGATGATATACTTGAATAGTTTTGTTTAAATAACGAAGAATAACGAAATCAAAGGTATCCAATGAAAAATAATTACTTGGTGAGGTTAGAGCCATATTCAATTCATTCACATTATTAAAGTCCCTAATAAATACTTTTAGTATTAAGGCAGAAGGAGAGAAGTTTATTTAAGAATGTATGTGTGAAATCAAAACAGTCTAGTCTAATCAGTTATTGGAAGAGAGGGTGACAAATAGTGCCTGAATCTTTAGTGCTAAGAAGTGTTAGAGTAAAGGACGAAGCATACTTATCAATTCGGAAACGGATCGTAACCGTATCAACTCGAGGCGGTCAGTATTATTTGTATGAAACTCCATACTGCAACTTCCGCACCGTAACCACAGAATAAGTAATAGTACAGGTACAGAAGGATTACTCCGCAAGACGATTTAAATAAATGCGAGTCTTGCTACGACGCGATACAGTGGAATTCAGCTCGCACAGCACTACGTACCTACAATTTTATTCACCTACAAGTTTTGTCTCTTTCGATAGAAATACGCTAAATAATAAATTCTTTCACGCGATAGCGTGCCTCTGAACTCTTCTTACGCTGTTAGGGTTGCTGTCTAGTGAAAAAATAATTATTCTACTTATTTGTAATGAGGTACGTATGTAGATAAGTGTGCATTCATTATGGAAAACCTTGGGAGAGGCCTTTGTCCAGCAGTGGACGTCATTTGGCTGAAACGAACGAACGCATTCTGAGCAGTAGTCATAGTAGGTTAGGTTCCTATACTATCCTAAGAATTATTGATTACCTACATGGCCAACATACCTTTCAGCATCTTTGGGAAGCGAAAAAAAAAGATAAATCCGGTAGATTTATTTTCGAATTTAAACACCCGAACGCCGCACAATATTTCTTTCTCTTTATGTCCATTTTTAAATAATACTTCGATCATAGAATTATAATCATACTACAACGCACGCCAGCGTCCTGACGGGCGCGCGCGTGACACTCGACTGATATAATACCCGCCGGCGGGGCGCTTCGCTGTAGGTAATTATCGGATGTACCGCGCGGAGTGAGCTAGGCCTGCCGTAACGTAAACGCCTCACCTCGGTTGACAGCGCGGCAAAAAGCAATATGGCGTTGATCAATTTCCGGATTTATAAGTATGCAAAAGTATGTAACAAAGTTTTTTTTATTAATGAATTAACACTTACCAGTGATGGGTTCCAGGTCATACCCATCGGAGGCGATGATGGTGATGTTGTGGCCATCCACTGAGAGCTCTATGGGGCAGTTCAGGAACTCTGCATTGATGACTCGAAAACGGTACTTGTAGCCCTGTGAATAAAGGTCATTGTTAATTATACAACTTTGACAGATACTACATTAAAATGAAACCAAATAATCTAACCCCAAACCTAATAGACATTGATACATAAACGTTCAAGATTTAAGAATCTTTCCTTCAAAAAAGTCAGGGTTGTCTGAAAGATATCGCTTCCTAGCATTATGATTGCCTAAATGGACGCTCAGAGTCACCACCACCTTGTAAACTTCCAAGGCGCGGCCATGGTTGCGAGTCTCTATCAGGATTCGAATCCTTAACGTCTAACCAACACACCTTTTGGGTACTAAAAATCTATATCTATAAAAGCGAAAGGTCACTGACTCACTCACTCGTCACGAAATCTCAGAAACTACAAGTGCTAGGAATCTCAAATTTTGCATGGAGGTTCTTTTTAGATTGTACCTAAGTGCTCACTAAGAAGGGATTTTGCAAAATTCAAACCCTAAGGGGGTAAAACGGGATCCACGCGTACGAAGTCGCGAGTGGCCACTAGTCTATTATAAATAGCCTAACTGGAAATCAAACTCGTGCTCAAAACGATTGCACCGCTTCACAATTTCCTCTCATATTTACTGTTTTAATACCAAGTACATAATCTTATTCCGTCTTCATTTACTAAGAGAAATCTTGGCTCTTATTTACTTCTTCCTAAAGGCTACACGAACTGGGCTTGTTAACTTTCATTAGAAAGGACTACATTAAAATTGAAAGAACGAGAAAAAGCTCTCGGATTCAATGCGGGAACTAACGAAGTTCGTTTGATGGTAATTATTAGTGACTGGTCTTACTTTAGGTGCTTTGATTTGAGCTATTCATAAAGAAAGCATTATAATTATCTTCTGAAACAGTATAATATTCTAGTTTGTTAAGAGTACACACACAAGAATGCTTTCAATTCATAAAAAAGTTAGATCTAGATTTTTAGTGTCTAATAGGTAGGTGTTTAAAGGTCTGACTTTTCCTCCCTTTCTTCCAACCTTTCCTAAGGAGGTCCTTCAAAGATAATTTCCGACGACAGACAGTAAAAATAATAATAACACATGAAATTAATTTAAATTGATTTTGATCCTCATACCTACTTGTCATATTTTTATGGATGTATCTATCCATGCCTACTGTCGACAATAGAAAAAGTAGATATTTTATAGTAGAGTAGATAGATATAGATAGTAGTAGACCTACTTTCATAAAACTTATAATTATTTCACAACTACCTGAAAATTGTATAGCCCATGACTTTTACAGTATTTTGAATACGGTTACCCATTTCGCGTTGTCGTGCGATAAGTTTATATCCACGCTGTTTAACTATTTAGTTGTGTGCCTCTTCTAAGGGATGGTACACAACGATGGAAAAAAGAAAAGATTGAATAAACTTCTCATGTAGATGACCTATAAAAACGAACAAATAAAACCACTCACAATCAAAACAAGAGACTTTGAACATGATTAAAATTTGTTGCAAAATAACACCATGCAAAACAGCACCTAGATTAGTATAAGAACCCATAATGTATAGCTTGAATTGATACCTATTGTCTGTACATTGAGTAACACATAATTATCTATCACCTAACAGTAAGTACCAATTTTAAGAGATTTTTAGTGAATTTGGAATTTTATCACGAACTTTTTCTTTCCCCAATACTAATTTCAAAGTCCCTCTATATTCTTCTAATTAATTTCGTTGCTGATCCATTGACAGTTTAACTTATCCTCTAACAAACTTACGCCCGCATTCACAAACATTACTATGAGGTCTCACAGTGCGCGTGGACGCACAGGGTGACACACGAACCAATGACAGAGCTCTATTCAACGATGTGCGTTCGATTTGTTGCTTCATATAAGCAAGCATCGTTTGTGAATACGGGCGGTATAGCCTTCTTTTTTTATCCACAACGAGGAAGCTCTTGGCCTGTATCTCACCTGAGGGTAAGTGACGATCAGGCCGAAGGTGGAAGCGAGCTTCACCCGGAATCCTCAACCACGGAGGAACTAGCTATCTTACCTCTAACTGCCGGAACACAACAATGCTGTTAACATTGTTGTTATGGCGACAGACTTAGGTAAGATGGTGGTAGCTAGCCAGGCGGGCTTAGAACAAGCCCTACCACCAACCAAACCGAACAGAAAACTCTGAACCCACTGGGAATCGAACCAGGGACCTCTGCGTCTGAAGCAGGTGGTCTTACAACTAGACCACAAAGGCGGTCTGGTTGGCTTTATATTGGCGGTCAAGCTGTTAGATCCTTGCTACAGGAGTTGGTGGGAACATAAGGTGGGAATAATTTTCCCTCCTGTGTAGCCTACAGCTTATACGAAACGAATGAATGTATAAACAGACTTCCTCTCAGGCCTCGTTCGAGTAGCACAAATAATTCATGGCATAGTGTTTTCGCCCAAATGACGCAATATTAACAAGTCTCCTTGAAAGATACAATGGACTTAAAATATATGATGACCAGATAAAAAAAGTTATTGAATTTAACCTGAAAAGTTGTTTGAAAAAAATGGTCAACTCTGTATGAATTAAATACGAAAGTAACTATGTCTCTTTTACCTTTTCCCTCATAGGCCCGATTCGACCAAACTTGTATCCGAGAATAACTCCTGGTATAACACATTGACAGTTTCAGTATGGAAAATATGTCGAAACTGACAATTTATTCTGAGATTAATATTTACTCTTGTTTGGTCGAATCCACCCTTAAAGGTCATAGCAGACTTACTCGTATAAACTCGGAAAGGGACACTAGCTATCGCCTTTCGCACATGTTCAACCACAAGGCGAGACGTTTACGTTACTATGGTGCGGATAAAATATGTGCGTTGCAGTATGGAGTTTCATACAAAGAAAGACCGCCTCGAGTTGATACGATTACGATCCCCTTACAGGTTGATAAGTGTGCTACTTCCTTTAAACTACTGAGCAGAGAGATCGGAGATGGGACCTAGGTACATAGTACTTTCGGTGACTGTGCAGACCAAAAATGAAGGTACTTCCATATAAAAGTCTTCTATCTATCATTAAGCTATCGATCAGCATCGGACAGCCCATTATTTAGGAGTCGGTATTCGATTCCCATTCACCACTGGTTAACCTATTTCTAACACAAACATAATATACATGACACATTCATAGCCACGATAGCCGAACGGTGAATGGGTCAGACTGGCCGAATCGAGATCCGAGGAACGCGGATTCGAATCCCACCGCCGCTCGACTATTGTGGTTAGCCCACTCGTAACACAAGCTTATTAAGTTTATCACGAGGGGCTAACGGGACTATTAGCAATTTCTGCAATAAAAAATGCTAATAATGTTTAAAAAAACATAGGTACTATCGGCAACAGTTTTAGCTGCCCATTGCCAGTCGTGTCATCTCGTTCTATCGCAAAGAATCACCATTTGATTAAAGCGAGAGCAAAAACGGAGATGGATAGTTAACAGTGTGGCCGTGTGTACATACCAAAAAAGGCTTTATACATTTTGCAACAGCGAGATTCGAACCTGCAACAGTTGCCAGTGTGACCGAAAACAGAACTTGGACATCATGCGGTCGTTGATCTCCTTAAGCCCTACTATTTCAAGTGGAATCGAAGGAAACAATCTTCGGCAGTTTGTCACTGTCAAAACACAGCGCCTACGTCTGCTCTGGAACAAACTACCCAATAAGTAGAGGCTTATGCCACAGCTGGAGAAGATACGCCAGCCCATTTATGTGTTAAAGTTTTAAAAAACTCGGCCTCATATAAAATATACGCTCATCAAGAAGAGAGTAATGAGAAATCCTGAAAAAATAAACTTGATAAAAATCCTTCCCATAAAGGCAATAATCTCTTCGCGATGTCATTCGGTAAAAGCTTCCTTCCCATAAAGGCAATCATCATCATCATCATTTCAGCCATAGGACCTACACTGCTGAACATAGGCCTCCCCAATGCTTGCCATGCTGATCGATTGCACTGGTCAACAGTGGTTTTGGTGCCAAGGAACTGTATATATTTTTTGATTGAGGACCTTATGCTGGTTGCTTTAGTAGCAAATTTTTCGATTACCTACGTGTGGTTTTCTAGATTTTGACGTGTATAGAAAAATACAAAATTTCACCAAAATCAGCGTTTATAATATATTGAAATGCTTAAAAACTTTATTTTCCACGACTTTTGTGAATGAGGTGTAATGGAACTATCACGTTACATCCTCCAGCAGTAATCAGCCATCATATACCGATCCCATTTGCCTTGGTACCTCTCTTCCAATGGTTTTTAGGTCTTGATAGCATCGCTCTCCCTATTCTTAGCTATAGCATGCTATAGTGACCCAAGATTCTCTGGGAATTGGTCAATATGACTGTGGAGGTAGTGCTCTTTGATGAAAATTATGACATCCTGAGTTTTTAAGGCATGTCTCACAATTTCAGAGTAGTTACTGGACTAGAGATTTCCTAAAAAAAATTGTAATTTCAATTAACATAATCTATGCAAATCGTTCCAAATAGTCCATCGAACTTAAGAAATCAGTATCTTTTATTAATATTGTTATTTATGGACCATTAAAAATTACTTAATAAATTAATTAAAAAAGAAAATTATGCTCAAACTAGGATTTTTTTTTGTTCTTTCCTCACTTTCTCCACTCTGAACTTGATGTTCGGCTTCTTTGACCATTGTAACATTGCCTTAAGTGTTCACAACAGATTATACAAACAATTTTGGGTATCCACGGCTTGAATACAACCACAATTTCCGACTTAAAGTAAGAAAAATAAGCACTTTTAATGAAATATTGCCTGAATTTTTGAACTTTTTAACTGTGTACACACCACAAATGTAACAAAAATACATTCTGATTATTGAGACAACTTCTTGGCAATGTAGACATGATATTAAAATAAATGCATTTATAAAAATGTACCGATAACACTACAAACTGTGCAACCAAAGTACCGAATAAAGCTAAATTTTAAAACTGAGGGTAGATCCAAAACTACACGTAGGAAAAAAAAAGAAAAATATTTTTATTATTACTAATACACACCTAATAATAATCTATCAACAGAATCTCGGCACCATTTTCATTTTGATTTTTTGTTGACCAGTGTTGTTAGCGGCCTGCATCCAGCGCTTCCCTGCTACCTTTACGATGTCGTCGGTTCACCGGGTAGACGTCCCATAAAGGCAATAATCATGTCCAAATTCTCTTTGCGATGTCATTCGGTAAAAGCTGCGATGGCCGAAAATGTCAGATTCCACTATCTGCCGATTAACAACGACTTGGTATCGATATTGTTTACTGGAGGATTATCATTCGCAGATTAGTTCCGTAGTGGCTGCTCTTCCACTGGGTAAGAGAAAGGTCAAAGCTTCATATACCTATTATTATTATACCTGGTCGCAAATGGTTTATTTGAAGTCAAATTTTTTCACAAGCAACTTACTCCTACAACCGGCCCAACAAGTTGCAAGTAAACGTACAAAGTGATCAGCCAGATCCTCGTTTTAATTTGCGAAGTCCTGGCTGTTCTCATTTCCCTGTGGCGGCTCCGAAATATTTCTCAGGACTCAGCGTTTCTTTACTAGGTATTACGACTTGAAGAGCATCCACAAAAGGGGCACTGCTTTGTTATATTCTACAGTTAAAATGTTGGCCAGCACATTGTAGCAAGATGGAAGAAAAGGCAAGCTCTTAAAGAGGTGGTAAAGTAAAACATTCTTAGAATACCTTTTCACTGTTGATTACTCATTGTTAAAGATTGACTGAGAGTTTGAATACTATTCATGTTGTTTCTCATTTAAGCTAATTAAAAACAGTTCAGTGTTTATCTGAATTTTGTTTCATTCAGCTAGTACTGAACATCGCAGCGCACAAGGACTCCCAAACAAAAGGAATGGAACCTTTCGTTTGAATTGTTGTTTCCCTCTGATAACTATAAATCCAAAAAGTACATCTCGCTTTCACTCTTTCCCCTTCTCCCTCTTAGTCTCTTTTCTTCTCTCTCTCTCTTTCAGTCTTTCTTCTTCTCTCCCTCTTCATCTCTATCATGTCTCCCCTTTCCCCTGTCTCCCCTGCTCCCCCTGTCTCAACTGTTTTCCCTCTTTCCCCTGTCTCCCCTGCTCCCCCTGTCTCAACTGTTTCCCTCTCTCCCCTGTCTCCCCTGCCCCCTCTCTCCCCTGCCCCCCTCTCTCCCCTGCTCCCGTCTCTCCCCTGCGCCCCTCTCTCCCCTGCTCCCGTCTCTCCCCTGCCCCCCTCTCTCCCCCTCCCCTGTCTCAACTGTTTTCCCTCTCTCCCCTGTCTCCCCTGCCCCCCTCTCTCCCCTCTCCGTCCCCTCTCTCTCCTCTCTCTCCTCTCTCTTACAACTATTGACTCACCTGTTCAACATTGAACCTCGCGGCTCTCATGTAGAGTGGCTCAGCAGTCTCGCGGAAGGTCTTGAAGCGGCCCACTCCGTTGATCAGCAGCGTCGGCGGCTTGTTGTCGCCGACCGAGTGGTGGTGGTCAGTAAACATACTGACGGATAGCTCGTGGATCCAGTCAGTTACTATCATTATGTGCTCGGATCTGGAAATAAAGGAACATGGTTATAATCTACGGTCTTTGAGAAAAAATCTCAAGAGAGATTCCGTTTCTAAACGCTATATTTCTATGAAAGGTTCTTTATTCGTTACGTATTGGGATTTCACACTATTCTCATAATGTAATTAAACTAAAACCCTAATATGTGTTGTATACTGTGAATGTCTTAAATGTGTATTGCTGTTGGTGTACCTTTATCAATAAATAATAATAAATAGTAATTCTAAGGCTGAGTTGCACCACCTAACTTTAACACTAACTACAACGATAACCGGTGTTTTTGACAGACTTTTGACGTTTGTCAAAGTTAAAATAAGATGGTGCCCAGCGTAAGAAATGGAGTCTCCAAATAACACTCCATAGGCTGAAAACCAATAAGTTTTCAATAACTATAAAAATGAGTATTTCTGTTTAGAATTCTTTCGATTCTTACATAGGTCAATGTACCTCAAAGGTTAGTATAGTACAAAAATAAGGTAAAGGTAAATAAATATTATATCCCAGAAACCAATATCTGACAAAACTAACGACCTGAAACACAGTAACTATGCTCGTTAAGACATGTTCAAGCTAGTTTGTTAAACGTATCACTTACAAAGAAAATTGATCTTTTAGTCGGTACCTTTAGGAAGGACCAAGTTTCATCTTACAAGTGGGGAACAATTGGGGATGCAGGTGAGATGTAGGAAATAATATCGGTAGTCGATAGTCGAGTTCATAAAACATGTCTTATAGAATTGACAATTTGAAATACAGCTGATAAACTATCTCTAATTATATTACTTTTCGCTTATCAGGACAAAGATCTAGTTTTGTAAAACTATTTTCGTGATTTTATAATTTGGTTCTTGTAATAACTCTCCAAGTGTCACGAGTGAACTCACAACAATAAATAATCGAGCGGCGGCGGGGCGGGGACCAAACCCGCGTTCCCCGGATCACGAGTCGGCCAGTCCGACCCCTTCACCGTTCGGCGGTTCGGCTATCGTGGCTTCATCGATAATGAAGGCGTGCATCCTAACACGACTGGTATACAATAATAGAGTCTACCTCTATTAATAATCAACAACAATGTTCTTTGATGATCAATTAAATCAGATTATTTCTCGATATTTTATGAAAGTGAGTAGTCGATATTTTAGTACCTCACTAAGACAAACCCTTAGCAAGTTTAGTGGGGGAACTCACAAGTTACCTGAAAAGGTTTGGTACCTATACTCGTAGTTATCTATAAAGCGGTTTATATGTAATGAAGGGACAAGAAACTCACGTCAATGTATTATGTTTACACGTTATTTACTTTAATAAACTACGTAGTATCCTTATATCAAATGAAATAATATTTCTAATTGCGAACATGTTACATACAGTAGTTGTAACAAGTTTTCAAGTATCTCCATCTTCTTTCAATCTTTCAGGTATCAACACAATTATTTTCAGAGTGGGCTTTTACAACTTTTTGCATGTTGAAATTAACTCCACCACTGCTTCAGCATAAAATTAGTCCGTTAGCACTATTTTGAGGTCAAAAACTATAAAATTCGAAAGTTTCTTAAATTATTTCTTGCAAGTGGATAAAGATGTCATTATCATTAGAGATGAAACGGATAGTTGTTTGGCCGGATACCGGATACCGGATATCCGGCGAGCTGCTAGGCCGGATAGCCGGATATCCGGCGGCCGGATAGTTGTCCCATTGTCATGTTGCATGTCGTAACGAGTTTAGCGCTGCAGAGGTGCTTCGAACGCGATCAGTAGGTCTAGTAGACTAGACAAGTCACACTTTTCGAAAATCGAATTCGTTCGAATAGAATGTCAGATTTTGCCACTCGTCTAAGGGGCAAATCAATTCGGGCGATTTCGGTTGCCATCGTGAGTATGTGATTGAATAGCGAAAATTCAATAAGTACACTTGCTGCGTAATCTGAATGAACTGCATTATACAGGGTGACTTTGAAATTGTTGGCATTCTTTTTAAAATAAGACTACTCATGATTCCCCAAATATGAGTCATATCAAATGAATTAAAATTTCAATATTTGAAATCTTGTACAGACGACAGCATATCAATCTTCATATTGTGGCATCTTATTTGAATGTATTAAGTGTTATTTTGCAACAAATATATAGGATGATGTGCTGTACAATAGTTTTAAACTCTTTTTTAGAGCACACTAATACAAAGACACAGTTAAAATAATGACAAAAAATCTCATTGGAGTTGTCTCATACACTCAGCGGCACGGAATTTGGCCCAAGCCTAAACAACCAGATATGAGGCCAAATAGGTGTTGTATGCCTAAGTTTCGTGTGACATGTTAACATAACATTTGTTTTTGTTAATTTAAGAGGCTATATTTGGGGAATGCACGATGTATCATGAGTAGTCTTATATTAAAAGGATGCCAACGATTTCAAAGTCACCCTGTATGTCATCAGACCATCAGTGAAAAAAAAAATCGCCTATTTTATTTGGCAATATTTCGACATTAAAAAACTAAAAACTCATTAAAACTCATTTATTTCTGTACATAGGCTTAAAAAAGCACTTTTACACGTCCCAGTATTAACCCTACCACTGCTTCAGGACAATAAATGGGAATTAAAATATATTTACTATTTATGTATTCGTCATTAGAGTGAATAGCCCAGAAAAGAAATTAGTTTTTTGAAAGGCCTTAATATGGCTTTTTTGTAACTTTTTGGACTTTAGATAAAAACCGTCATTATTATAAGCCACTTTATTGATATTTGACTCAAGATTAATGTGTTTCATTTTATTATAGGAATTTTCGTAGTTTTTTTAATATCCGGTATCCGGCCGGATAGTAAATTTAGGCCGGATATCCGGCCTACCGGATAGTTGCCGGATATCCGTTTCATCTCTAATTATCATCATCATTTCAGCCAGAGGACGTCCACTGCTGAAAATAGGCCTCCCCCAATGATTTCCACAAAGGCCGGTTAGTAGCGGCCTGCATCCAGCGCCTTCCTGCTACCTTTGTGAGATAAATTATGTACTTAGAAAGTATATTATTGTTTTATGCTCTAGTAAAAAGTCCTCTACTAATACGTTGTATCGATATTCCAATAATTTAACGATGTGTGATACTCTCAAGTGAGTGATGCAACATATTAATATAACATTATGTTACTGCTATCACGATGTTATACTACAGCCAGAACATCACTCGGGCGGTATAGGTAATAATGCAGAATATAATATTACTACACGAGCACTCTGTACTGATATTGTATTATAATGTATCACAATATTGAGCAACGAATATGGCAGCATAGTGTTTCGGAATAGACGTGCTTAGACAAATTGTTTATAATAATTAATTATGCAATGCTGAACTAATTTGTGAGCTTCCACCCGTATTCACAAACGATGCTTGCTTAAGTGAAGCAGCAAATCGAACGCACAGCGTTGAATAGAACTGTGGTTGGTTCGTGTGTCACCCTGTGCATCCACGCGCATTGTGAGACCTCACAGTAATGTTTGTAAATACGGGCGTAAATGAGCTGATGAAGATGTTCACATGTCACAGTCATAGAGTGATCCATGATTGGTCCTGCGACCTTTTCTCACGATGAAGAAGTTATTTACTTGGCCAGCGAGGAGAGTGTAGGCCAACTTCTTCATCTGTTTCTCGTAAATTAGAGAGAGTTGTACTCTGCAGAGGAGACTAACGCCGGTATTCACAGACATTACTATGAGGTCTCACAGTGCGCGTGGACACACAGGTTGACACACGAACCAATCACAGAGCTCTATTCAACGCTGTGCGTTCGATTTGATGCTTTACTTAAGCAAGCATCGTTTGTGAACACGGGCGTTAATGACCTGATGATGACTTAATGGAGATTTCTAAAATAGTGACCACATCTCAGCACCAGCCCATGTTGTCCCGAAGTGGTGGTAGGGCAAGCTATATTTGGGACGTGTATAAATGCCCTGGAAAAGGCCTATGTCCTGAATAAAATATTTGAATTTGAATTTGATGATCCATAAAGATTTACCTCGCCAAAGTGGGGAGTGTAGATTCCTCTGATAGTTTAGATAGGGTTATTCCTGTAAGTTTCCTCGACTTAATCATGAGGATAATAATGAGGATGACGTTAATTACCTGTCATAGTCATAGAGCGGCCCGTGAGGGTCCTGTGACTTGGGCTTCCTCACGATGAAGGAGCCGGCGGCGCCGTCGGCCCGCTGCATGCCAGAATGGGAGTGCCAGAAGTGAGTGCCGCTGTGGGTCGCGTTGAACTGGTATCTGAAAATGTAGGTAAATGGTATTAAAAAGAATTTTTCGCTTGTGATCCATATAATAGGGACTTAGACCTACGAACAAGGCTCGGCCTAACCCATAAGCCCGTAACACAAGCACATTAAGGCTGGGTTGCACCATCTTACTTTGATTTTGACAAACGTCAAAAATCTGTCTAACTCCATACAAAAACCACCAGTTATCGTCACAGTTACCGTTAAAGTTAGGTGGTGCAACTCAGCCTAAGCACGAGGGGTCAACTTGCATTTAATTTTTTTTTATATATTTTGTTTTAAAATACACATAATTTTCGACGAGCTCATAATACAGATCTTATTAAGTACCTCTACCAGTAATATTTTTACCAATTAACTAGTCTTAGTCAGGACTTTGCTGAAGTAAATCATTTCGTTAGAGAACTGTAAGGCTGAGTTGCACCACCTAACTTTTGACAGATTTTTGACGTTTGTCAAAGTTAAAATGAGATGGTGCAACCCAGCCTAACATAAGAAATCATTGCAGACAAAGTATAAAATAAACATGTTTGCATTGCCGTTGACTGTTAGAAAGTGCTGTAAGGCATAAAGTACTCAATAAAAGCATAGTATCAACTTTTAGAATGCAATAAAGTTTAAATAAAAACATAACCATCCTTCTGGCGCAGTCGGTTAATAAAAATACCTAAAGGTAGTCTCAGGCAGGATGGGGCACTGCGTGACGTAAGGCGTTCCATCCATATACGGCGTCCCGCGCTGATGCTGTCCATGCCAATGGACTGTAGTGCCTTCCGTCATCAGATCGTTCTCCACGTCCACAATCACGCGGTCATGTTGGCAGACCTTAGGATAAAGAAAGAGAAATGTTTTATGCAGCTACACATATTAACACTTTAACTGACCACTAACCCTGGGTCGTAAACGTCTAAAGTCTGTCAAACTCCATACAAAACATCACTTAAAGTTATAGCAATAAAAATTTTGAATTTGAATTAGTTAAATAAATAATAAATAAATATCTTTGGACATTTTACACTGTGCCAACATACTTAAATATTTTTTTTGTAAATACATACACATATTATACATAGAAAATACCCAGACCCGTCACAGAAATTAAAATTCACCATTTCAATTTAGTTACGGGTAAACTAAAACTAAAGTGGAGCAACTCAGCCTTAGAGATCTGGCATGGCAATGTTGTTGATAATTGAGATTGCTTATCAAGTAGTAAGTTTAATCAGGCGTTTGTTCATATAGGTAGACTATGGAACGGCAACCTGTAAGCGGCTTGCCAATTCAATAAAACTGATAAAAATATTTATTATAGATATAAACATCAAAACCCCTAAAATCTAAGAGCTAGCAGCACCTTGAAATCGTGTACGTACGTGTAGTGGTTTGAAAATTCTGTGAATTGCTGCTTCTGGCTCTTCCTGTATTAGTTAATCTGGCAATAAATATTTTCTCTGAACTTGTCTCCACTCCAGAACGTTGCTGCCGCATCTACGTTATCTACAACTCTGTCAACTATATTCCAATTCCTCCTTCCTATCATTTTGTAGAGTTCTCTTTAAAAAGTTAAGATTAAGAAAGGATTACCTAGGTAGGTATGAACTATAGTTCCAAAATACTGGACTGTCCTGTCGATGACATTGACAGTGGGGCGCCACCGTCAATACCGGATTGCTGGTTCAGATTTTTGCCATGTTGGAAACCATATAGTTGAACGATGGTAGCGCCCCCCTGTCATTGAGTTTGGCGGGACAATTAAGCGTGGGTCATCTATATTTTCGTTAATGCACGAACTTAATTCATTTCACGTCACACAGCATTCATAATTATGAGAAAACTAAAAAGTATTATTTTAAGTACCTACGTCATCTAAATAAGTTGCAAATAACTTTAAAGCTTAAGTTAGTGTATGTAGCTCTCATTTTATTTCGCTTTGGCAGGCTCAGTTTGTTTTAATCCGAGTAAAGTTTTAAGAGTGGTTAAAATTGTACGCGTATTTTTAAACCTATTCAAATTACATTTTCATAATTATTTTAGACCGCGAGCCCGTCACAAAAGAAAATTCTCACGCTGATTTTGCACAAAGAACTCTTGTTTTTAATACAGAATAGTGGATCAAAAACTTTTAATGGTACTAAAATATTTTAATGCCGTTTGCGAGTTGGCAACAACTGACGTCACTTGTCTGGTGTTGTGTTTATTAGATGATATAGTTGTCTGAATAACATATCTGAATGGTTTAAATTCCAAAGCTCATATTTTTATGTTTCGAACAATTGTTGATTCAAGGGGGAACACTAAGGTACACAATATGACGTTTCAATTTGTTTCTGCTATCTAGAAATTGAACCCAGAACTCCGGATCGAGCGAGTCAAAATGTCTTACCACTCGAACACAGAGACAACTGTGTGCTTAGTGCGAGTTTGCATTGAATGTAATCGCTAGCGAGTGCGTCAAGAATATACGAAGATTTAAGATTTTAGTTCTTGAAAGTACCTATTACTAGGTAATGTTTAATCTATCATACATATAATGTCATTTTTTACACAGTCGCTACTTTGTTAGCGTTGACGTTTGATCTAAACTCGCACTAACCGGCTTGATTAAAATTTTAAATGCGCGTATATTCATTTATCAAAGAACAAAAACTATCAATTCCACCTACCTCTATAGAAGGTCCAGGCATCTTCCTGTTGACAACGTTCAGTGATCTGCTGATTCCGTCAGCTGGAATACAATCCTGCCTAAAGCAATCCGACTCGGTGAACGGACAGTCGTAGCACGCCTTGCTCATAGTGTGATACCACTCCAAGTTGAAATGGTAGTAGCAGATCATAGGCTCTTCTCCTTCTTTACATTCCCTTTCACACGGGTGTGCTCCACCCACTAATTCCCCAGTAACTTCGTCGTATCTTGCATGAGGCTTCAAATTTGCTCTTTTCTGAGTGATTTTGGTAATCACGTCAGACAGAAGCTTGGCAGGCTTTGGATCTTCTACTGTCTTGTTCAAATTCCCTTCATTGATTTCGTTGCTTGTGTTACTACGAGCCCGTATAGGCATTATAACTCTTGACGCACTTTCTGGTCTGACTACAACGTGGGGACTGTCATTGTCGAACGCAAGGTCGTCAATGTTGGCTCGGGCTTGACGCGTTTTGACGTCCGAAGTGAAGTTTTGTTCTGTCACAGTTGTCAGCTCAGCGTAATCTGTGGTTGCCTCCGTTTCAGTCTGGGAGTTGATGCCGCAGGCGCCTGAAACAAGTTAAATTCAAAATTGTAATGGATTTCATACTTAGTTTAGAATTAAGCTTATACTGATTTTATAAACGCATAGGTAAATATGCCATTATAAGGCTCTGTCCTATTGGGAATTATTAACACCATTTAATTATTCACTTATCAGAAGTTTAAAAAGCAATAATTCACATGTAATGCGCTATAAATTGTTAAAGCAACGTTACAGTCTTGGGCGAAAAACCAACAGTACGTGGAAAAATATTCTGGGAACATTTTGTATTCTTTCTTTATCGGTCGAAAGTGGTCGGCTTCTACACTGGTCATCATAAAAATCGACCCACCCGCGACAAGCACTTTCAAACGTATGCATCCCCACTTCCCACCAATATTACTATACTATTTTACCATTTAAAAGCCTAGTTCTAAACTTCATTTCATTAAAGGAAAGGTTTTTACCCCAAAAATGTGTCTGTAGAAGAATCCAGAGTCACTTCTTTAAAAAATAGGTAGTTACGCTTGAGCCAACTTTTATGGCTATAAAACTGATAAGTTGGGATTAATCGCTATCCATCTGTTAAAGAGGACACGTGAGATCATTATTTCGTTTTATAACCATAAAAATTGGTCTCATTGATCCCAGAGGTGAGCCCAAAGTGAGGTCTTTTTTAAAGTTTTTCAAGTCACATTTATTGTTTAAGTTAATCGTTTATTAGGAAATTAAATGTGTTTTTCTTTAAGGCTATTCATTGGGCTTTCAAATAACACCAATATTGTTGGGGCACCATGATTGTGTCAGTTGAAACGAGTTTTCCTGTAAAACATAGGTGGGCCGATTTTTGTGATGACTAGTGTAATTTGTCTAAGGAAAGATGTTCCGACTAAACTTTGAGCAGAAAAAAGTTTGTAGTCTGCAGGTAGAGTATAAAAATTAATTAAAATATACTGACTCCGTGCCTACCATAATAATTACACATGCTGATCAGTATCGGACTAAAATAAGAAACTATAGCCCACCAAGAAACACTGAAGAGACGATTCAAGCCATTATGGTAACATTTGAATTGCAAAATGGAGATCACATGCCCGATTAAATCCGTTACTGTAGGCGTTTACACTGTCAGATTTAAAAATACATCTAATGAGCCTTTATTTTTAAAGATCTTTTCTTCGATAGAACTAAAAGAAAAGAAAGAAACATTTATTGCTATGGAAATCAAACAAAGACAAAAAAAGTATATAGAAAAAAAAGACTAGTATACAAAGAAAGAAAAAATGTAATTGAGCAGTGGCACCCTGTCGCAACAGCGATACCCAGAGGTAGGGTATAGCAATGGGACCCCACTCAGCGTATGCCGTAGCCCACGATGAGGAAGGCCACAACGACACTGGTTTTCAGTGTGCCTCATGACTACATAATTAAAACTACAAACACTACAAATGGATGTGTGTAATCTGCTGTTGGTGTAGTACGTAATTAATCACTCTTTCATTAGATTATTATCAAGAAATCTATTTATGCCACGTAATCTTATAATCGTTCTAATCTAAGAATGGCCAGGGAAGCCCTGAAGATACTACTTATGGTCGCTGAATGAATCCACCTTATGTTTTAACGATAATCATTTTATCACTCTCGATTAAGTTCAATAAACTTCAGATAGCAAAATGATTAAAACCCAACGGAGAATCACACACATGTGTATTCGTAAATCAACTACCTTCGATACTTTAGTTTAGGCAATCTGTGAGTTCTGTGTAAGAATATGATCAAAGAATTAAGGCGAAAACTAAAGTTGTAAAGACTTATGTCAGTTCGAAGTGTTCAGTGAAAAATTGTGAAGAAAATGGCGTGCAAAAGTATAATCTTGTTGTTTTTAATATTCTCAAAAAGCCTCTGTGATGACTGCTTTCGTTACGACTTCGAAGACAACTTCGAAAAGAAATTCAGTCCGAATACTGGAATTTGTTTCGGGATGAGTCCTTGGGCCTTAAATAATTACACCTCTTTGGGAATCGACAGTCCACACCCATCGAGCTCATCATTTATATCTCCAACCAATTCCTTAAGCTGCGTTTCGTCTGTCAGTTTTTCCATGGGATTTGGAGTGTTAGAACTAAACGTTTATGTGGTGGAAGTCTTGCCATCCAACAGCATGCAAATTTACGTCATGGCAGAACCTTCACATTTGGTCGCCTTTTTGGGATATGAGTCACATCATTACAAACCAGGTTGGAATACGTTGAGAATACGCATACAGCGCTGGGCATTTCAAGGTTATGTAAGTATTGCTATTTACTTATTTATCTATCATTACATGTTAACACCGTATGTATAACATAATAATTAATCTTACTTATTCTAGTTTCAATCGATAGATCTGTGGCTAAAATGATGACTTTCTGACTGTTTTAGGTCGTGTTTATGGGTGAAGCTGCTAGCCCACAGTCAGTGGTACTAATTGATTCATTCCGATACATTCCATCAACGATTGATGATGAAAACTGCATAATATACCCAGAAAACAATCCGACTTCTGCGTCTACTAATGATGTAGACATTACGACAACTTCAACGGAATCAGATCTATGGACAACACCTAAAGATCTCACTTCGACTATAACTAATCAATGGACAACTGAATATCCAGCGACTGTTGATAATGAACTTATTCATACAACTGATAATTTTACACCAGGTTTAACCGATTCTGACGATAATCAAATAACTGTATCAACTTTAGATGACGAATGGATACATACATCAACTATAAATGAAGAGGAGATCATTTCCACGACTAATAATGATAATAACACACCAACACCTACAACGGGGTCAGATCTTTGGACAACTAAATATCCAGCCACTGTTGATAATGAACAGTTTGTTTCTACAACCACAGAGCATTTTACAGGAAGCGTAACCGATTCAACTGTAGATGAGGAATGGATACACGCAACGACTAAAAATGAAGAAGAAATCATTTCTACAACTAGTAATAGTAATGACACACCAATTACTTCAACGGGGTCAGATGTATGGACAACTAAATATCCAGCTACTATTGATAATGAACAGTTTATTTCTACAACCACAGATCATTTTACAGGAGGCGTAACCGATTCTACTGTAGATGAGGAATGGATACACGCAACGACAAAAAATGAAGAAGAAATCATTTCTACAACTAGTAACAGTAATGACACACCAATAACTTCAACTGGGTCAGATCTATGGGTTACAGATCCAACTGACGTTATTGTAACAGACATGCCGACAACTAATATTAGTTTTAGTACTGACGATGATTCAAATGAAGAAGAATATACTTCTACTACAGATAAAACAACAGGACCAATTAATGATATCACAACTGAGTCGGAGCAATGGGTAACCAAGACAACTGTTGTTGATAATGGAATAGAAGAAGAAACTGTCACTGAAATGACATCTGTCACAGAATCGTCAACGTCAATTTATCATGACGGATGCATTACATACAATTTCGAGGCAGGATTTGACTCAATATTCTCTTCAGGATCTGGCCTATGTTATGGAGCGAATCCTTGGATATTGTATAATTACACATCGTCAGAAATACAAAGTTGGCACCCGGATAGCACTAAGTTTATATCACCTTACTTTTTGAGTTGCATAACATCTACTGATTTACGATTGGGAAGCGGGGTTGTTGAAATTAATGTTTACATGGCAGATCATCAGTATTCAAATTTTACCGCTTTTTGGATGATTCACATTATAGTTCAGATGAAATCTGACGATGGATTTGGTAGAACTGTTGCAGTTCTATCCTACAACTCACATACCAATAATTTTTTACCAGGTTGGAATAGTATAAGAATAAACATAAGAAACCAACAAGAATTCGACGGGCATGTAAGTAACAAAAAATACAATTACAATATATAATATCAATAAACGTATGCAACAGTTTCTCAGACTGATACTTTTTTTTCAGATTATTCTCATGGGCATGGCAGAAAATCACGAAGCTCTATTAGTGGACTCGTTTCTGTTTATCCCAGCTACTATGAGTGAAGATTTGTGCTTTGTATACAGCACAACGGCTATACCGCCTTCTATAACAACAATAAATACTCCTATAATTGATATAAGCACTGATGGTTCTGATAAAGAATACACTACTAAAGGATGGATAACAAAAACTACTGATGTTGATGAGCTAACAACAATGACATCTATTTCCGATCAAAATATGTCTACATATCAGCCTATCGATGATAATGGGTGCATTACCTACAATTTCGAAGAAAACCTTGATTCTAAGATAGCAAATGATCATTTTCTTTGTCCGAAATCCCGTGGAAACCATTGGACTTTACAAAACTATTCTTCTCTGGGATTAGAAAGTCCGCATCCACTAAGCACATCGTTCATATCACCGCTAACACTACCCAGCTGTATAGCAACTACCAAGTTTTTTGTTAAAACTGGAACATTGGAAATCATTGTTTTCTTTGAAAGTGCAGAAGAATCCGGAGATCATATTACTATAATGGTTAGTGGAGGAATAGGAGTTATTATTGCATATGTATCATATACGCCACGATCTGCCAATTTTGTATCAGGCTGGAATACTTTAAGTATAAACATAAATCTGCCAGATGAAGTTGCAGTAGATGTAAGTATTCTACATTACTTTAAATATCATTTTAATAACTGTGACTGTGATGGTTCTCTTTACATGTTATTCTTTGATTTTAGATTTTACTGACTGGGTCCGCAGCTGAGAGTTCAATCGTATTGGTAGACTCGTTCCGATACATCCCATCAACGATGGATGAAAAAATTTGTGTAATTTACGACACAGAAATAACAACGCCAACTGATGCTGTAGCAACAGAAAAATACACCGATGATTCTAATTCAAGTTGGCCAACTGGGACTTATGATTGGACCATAGGAACAACAAACCTTGGTAATCAAGAAATATCCTCTAACCCAACAGAATCAGGGCCAACTGTGACTTATGATTGGGGCACAGGAACAACTAACCTCGATAGTCAAGAAATATCCACTGTTCCAACAGAATCAGGATCAACTGGGACTTATGAATGGACCATAGGAACAACTAACGTTGATAATCAAGAAATATCCTCTAATCCAACAGAATCAGGGCCAACTGTGACTTATGATTGGGGCACAGGAACAACTAACCTCGATAGTCAAGAAATATCCACTGTTCCAACAGAATCAGGATCAACTGGGACTTATGAATGGACCATAGGAACAACTAACGTTGATAATCCAGAAATATCCTCTATTCCAACAGAATCAGGGCCAACTGTAACTTATGATTGGGGCACAGGATCAACCAACCTTGATAATCAAGAAATATCCTCTATTCCTACAGAATCAGGGTCAACTGGGACTTATGATTGGACCACTGGAACAACTAACGTTGATAATCAAGAAATATCCTCTATTTCCACAGAATCAGGATCAACTGGGACTTATGAATGGACCATAGGAACAACTAACGTTGATAATCAAGAAATATCCTCTATTCCTACAGAACCAGGGCCAACTGGGACTTATGATTGGGGCACAGGAACAACTAACCTTGATAGTCAAGAAATATCCTCTATTCCAACAGAATCTACTGTATTAGATGGACAAGAGACAGTTTCAGAAACAGGGACAACAACAAACCCATGGATAACAACAAGTATACACGATGAGGGCACTGACACACCAGCAACCGAAACCACAGCTAATGATAGCTGCACTAAATATAATTTCGAAAAAGATTTTGACGTACTGTTCACATCGGAATCAAGCAATTGCAGGGGAATGCATCCTTGGACACTAAACAATTATACTTCAATCGATATAGAGAATTTACAGCAATCGAGCAATTTGTTCATATCTCCTATAACAGCATTAAGCTGTGTGGAGTCTTTCAAATTTGTGATGGGGCATGGAACGTTGGAATTCCGTGCATATATTGGGGATGCACTGTTTGCGAATATCATAAGTGTGCTGGTTAGGGACACAGCTGGAGGTGGTGTCGTGACCAGTAACATGTATAGCCCACTTTCTCAAAGTTTTGCGCCAGGCTGGAACGTGTTAAGAGTAAAAATTGAAAGACCGCAAGAATTTGAGGGCTATGTAAGTATTGTATTTTGTTTACATGATTAATGTTCGTTCGTTTCAGCCGAATAACGTCCACTGGACAAAGGCCTCCCCCAAAGATTTCCACAAAAATCGGTCCTGCGCCGCCCGCATCTAGGCACCTCCCGCGACCTTCGCCAGATCGTAGGTCCACCTAGTGGGAGGTCTGCCCACACTACGTCTTCCGACTCGTGGTCGCCACTCGAGAACTTTTCTGCCCCAGCGGCATGATGATTATAATGTAAATATTAATAATATTTTTACGTGCGATCCACTTCTTACTTCATATTAGCGGTTTCAATGAGTTTTACATTTATCTTATTTCCTTTTTTAACATTATTTTCCTTTCTCTTTTGTTTGTCTTACTTCATTTGTTACTAATAATTTATTTATTTTCAGTTCATCCTGCAAGGCTCCTTGGCTTCAGTGGACTCAGTGGTGTTAATTGACTCTTTCCGATACATCCCCGCAACAATGAATGAAGAACTGTGTACGGTGTAATAAGCTTTAAAAAAACCTTGCTTTAAACCATATCCAAAATGCAAAAATACTACTGTAGGAGAAAATATAATAATTATCTTGAAATTCAGCATTTACCAATTTCAATTCTTATTTTTGTCTTTTTAATGTTCTAGCGTTTCAATTCTTATTGCATTTTAGAAATGCGCGACATAATTAACTGTTAACTGTGATATGCAATTAAGAATTATATTTATTTACACATCTTATTTTTAACCAGTTGCGTTTCAGAATCATTGAATATGTACCTACATATATTTCTTTCAAGCCTCAAATGTTTTCCAAACGATGAACAATTAATCATTTTTATAAACACTTAATTTTGAATTTTTTATAGACACTTATACCGAATTCGCGGAAGTCTTATAAAATTATTAGTTTTTAGGAAGATAAGATAAATTTAATATCACACATATTATCATCAAATATTTATGACACTCGTGACTAATTGACTATTAATAAAAGGGGATGTCCCTTCAACATGTAGGTAAAGTGACGTCACGATGCCTTTGAACAAGACTTAGAAGGTACTTTTTTGAATACATGAAATAAGTGGAGGAAATTCTTAAGCTGCTTATTTTTAGTACTAGCTTTTGCCCGCGGCTTCACCCGCGTGAAAATTCGTTTGTTACAGATCTTCACAAATTATAGCCTATATGTTATTCTAGGTTATAAACATTAATACTGTAAAGTTTCATCAAATCCGTTCAGTAGTTTTTGCGTGAAAGAGTAACAAACATCCAAACTTTCGCATTTATAATATTAGAAGAACTAGCGGCCCGCCCCGGCTTCGCATGGTTGCAATGGAATTTCTCGGCTTTTTTCTTCTATTTATACAAAATGAATCTTCCTGTGGAAACACCCTATCTATTAAAAACCGCATCAAAATCCGTTGCGTAGTTTTAAAGATCTAAGCATACATAGGGACAGACTGTGGGGACAGACCGACAGCGAAGCTTCACCCGTGCGAAATTTAGTTCGTTATCTACAGATCGTCATAAATTATAGCTTATAATTATGTTATTCTGGGTTATAAAAAATAATACTGTAAAGTTTCATCAAAATCCATTCAGTAGTTTTTGCGTGAAAGAGTAACAAACATCCAGACATCCAAACTTTCGCATTTATAATATTAGTAGGATAATTATTTTATTATGTACTGATAGTGATAGTGATAGTGAATTAGTTTGAGCAGCGACTTCTAACGCTAGGTAATTTTAATAACTATAGCTTCCCTACCACCGCTTCAGGATAACTGATCAGCTAGCGCTGTGAAGGTCGGAAGATGTAAATCCTCTCCAGAATATTGTGAAACTCCCTCGAGGAGTGGTGAGGCGATTTGCTTCGTTTCCACGAACAGCTCTGTAAGGGATTAGGCATTTAATTTGATCGCAAACACTTTGCAGTTTTCGCTAATCTTGTCAATGGACAATACGATGAAACGAAACAGGGCTTAGTGTGAGTTTACGTCAAACGTCGTCGCTAGCGAACGCGTTAAAAAATATACGAAAATGTTAGTTCTTGAAAGATTCCGCTAGAGGCGCTGTACAATGCGTCATTGATGCGTTCAAGCTATAGATCCTGGCTACACAAGAATAGGTTAGTTTCCTAAAAAAAATTTATGTTTAATATCAAAAAATATTGGACACATATTTTTATTTGTCAATCTAACAAATAATTACGTGCGGCACTTTTATGCAAGCATTGACGTCACGGGCCTCTTCTTATGAACTTTGGCGCGCTTTATCTCTTTAAATTTTCATTAGTTTGAAAAAGTGAAAAATACGTGTAGAGTATTTTTTGATAAGTTAACTGACGGACTAATTAAAACTCTTGCTTTTTGACCCAGGAAACATCCCTATTGCAGCGCTGCAGCGGTGGGAACGAGAGGTGGGAATAGTCCCGTTAAACAATCCGTCATACATTTTAATGTAATTTTTTACGCGTTCACGAGTGACGACGTTAGATGTAAACTCACACTAAGCCCAGTATTGAAGTTGTACTCATCACTAGCCGTTTGTAGTGGTCTAGGTTTTGTCTATATGTATAATAGGCAGATAAAGTAGGTACCTACCTATGTTTTCACTTTACTCAGACATTTTAATCAATCGTCTTCTGTACCTCTAGCATGAACAACTTTCGTCTTCGAATCGTTTGCGTATTCGATAAAATTCGATACTCAACCATCGAATTAAACGATAACGTGACAATGTTTTTTGATTCTCAAAATAAGTTTCGTGCAATCATTTCTTACACTAAGTTCACTTTACGACACGTTCACAAGGGCGCTGTTGTAGTTTTCGTACTAAATCTTTTGATGACGATTCGAGTACGCAAACAATTTGAACTCGAAAGTTTTTCGTTCTAGCCGTACTGGTCAGCGTCAAATCGTTCGTGACACCCAAAGTAGCTAAAAATTCGCAACACGTCTTACAGGGTAATTTATTTATTTTTTATATCACTTGGGCAAGCATAATTTCTTCAGATCAATGTTTGTGTGAGTAAAACAATTTAATTTATGATTGCACAACATTTACTCCGAACTTTTTACCCTAACTATCAAATTAACCTTTTTCACTAAATACGTTTAAATACGTTTACATCATACAAAAAACAGTCTTGGTTTTTTCTAAGTTACGTTTCATACAAAAAATGTGTTGTTGAATCACGTGGATATTTGACTGATACTTTTTTGTTGGTTTCGTTAAGGAAATGAGAACTCTTCAACTAATGGTATAATGAATACCAACTTAGATTAAGCAAATTGGTCAATAAAATTTTAGTATTATGATGTCACTTGGCTCAAAAAACGTTTTTTGATTGCGATAGGTACTAATCAAATTATGTAATGGTGTATGGAAATCAAAAACTAAAATACAAAAGCAGAAAGAATAATATCAACGAAAACTGACTGATTTAAGCCACGCTTTATTTTCTTTCTTTAACGAAAATTAATTGCTTTGCAATTAACTCCATCCATCCATTAGTCTTTTAAAATAATCCAAATAGCAAAAGGTACCCAAGAACAAAACGCCTGTAAAAGCTAGTTTGCGAAAGGATTTAAATACCGGAATTGAATAAAGGAGAAATAACGAGTACCGTTTAACTTTTTAGGGTTCGTTTCGAAAAAATGACGTCCACACCATTACAAAGGGCTCCTCGAAACATTTCCACAACGAACGGTCCTGTGCTGCCCGCATCCAGGTGCTTCCCGCGATCTTTACCAGATCGTCGGTGCACTTTGTGGGAGGGCTTACCTACATTTTCCGGCTCGTAGTCGCCACTCGAAAACTTTTCTGCTCCAACGGCCATCAATTCTATGAGCTATATGCCTCGCCCACTGTTACTTAAGTTTGGGAATTCGGCAAGCATGTAGGACCTATGTAGGTACTGTATTTTTCTACGGATCTCCTCATCTGATTCGATACCCCGAGCATAGCATGCTCCATCGCCATTTTTGGTCACCATTTTTGGGTGACCTTGAGCCTTCTTATAAGACCCATGCGACAAAATTATGCGAAAAAGTGAAAAACTGAAATACCTACGGAACCTTAGACTGAGTCCTCTCGCAATTCACCCTCTTTTTATGAATAAGCCAATTAGGGGTAACAAAAACTACCGCAAAGGGAAAATTTAAGCGTCGCAATCAAAAGATGTTAATTGGCATAATTTTATACCTCGAGTTTATTTCTTTCAAACCATATCTTGGTCAAATTGATTTTCATAAGTTTTTGCCTTGCCCACGCTAGAAAAAAGGCCACGTACCGGGAAGGTGGACAGACGACCTCATAAAAGTACCAGAAAAGCGCAGGATACAGGCTGCCACCAATTGATCAATCTGGAAATGATTGGGGGAGGCCTATGGTCAGCAGTAGATTTCCTATGGCTGAAATCTTGATGATGATGAAGCTTTTGCGGTTGCTTTCGTCATCATCATTTCAGCAATAGCATGTCCATAGAATGTTCATGGCTTCCTCCAAAAATATCCAAATTGACTAGTTGGAAGCGGTCAGGATTTGCAGCGGTGGGAACGAGAAATGGGAATAGTCCCATAGCTTTTAACCAATTCACGCGCATGTTTATTAAAAGTAACATTGATTTAGTATTAAATTATTCCAAAAAAAAACCATAGAAAAGTATGCAAAAACCAATTTGTAACGGTGAATGTAGAATCATTGTACGTAGCAACAATTATGCAAACACCCGCACGATTAGCATATCGTACACTCCCATGGCTTCTGATATTAAGTCGTGCGGTTTAAAGATTGGCACCTTATGTAAAACTAATTCAGACCTTACCACCTTCTGGTTAAGATCGAAAACGTTCTGCGAAAGGCGTGTTTAGCTTGAACGATTTCAATATTTATGTCGGCCGCAAAGTGGTGAATCGCTTATACGGTAGACGGGAAATCAAATATTAATATATTCCTATGCATATTCATAGAAATGGCTGTTTCCGTTATTTATAGGTCATTAGTTTGTTGACAAAATTAATAAGTTGACGTAACTAATAGTCACGAAAATACCGAGCCATGACTAGCAATTCCAGGTTCAGAGTCCAGAAGGGGCAAATATTTGTGTTTGTTGTGTGAATTGGTTGTAGAGCCATGTATTTTGAGCTTTTTAAGACCCCACTAGGTGGACGGACGATCTGGTCAAGGTTGCGGGAAGAACATGGATGCGGGCAAGGCCGGGCGTTATGGAAATCCTTGGGGGATGCCTTTGTCCAGCAGTTGACGGCATTTGACTGAAACGAACGAATGAAGAGCCCTGAAAACGGCCATAAATAGTCTTGTAAAGACCTTATTAAAATTTCTGTTAAAGTATACATATAAATTGAATTTGTACTTGAGAATAATTATTGAAAAGTTTTTAAACGATCAGGTAGGTTTCGGTACGATAAAAGAAACATAATATTCATATTAAAAAAAACTCCGTATTTCATAACGAGGCGAGGAGAGTTGATAAACCTTTTTACTTCCTTTTAGCTCTAAACACTACATTATACGAGAATATGCTAATGTAAAGCCCCTACGAAAAATTTGTAAACGCCATATCTTTCAGTTTTCAACTGTACCGCAAAAGCTCTTTGATTTTACCGCAACCTTTGTGCCTTAAGCGGCAAATATAAAGGCTTTGCAGTGGACAATGTGATGCACGTATATCGTTCGGACCGCACCGCTGCGCTGTGTACGGACTGGATTGGGAATCTATACCTTACTGCGAATCAACGGTTTTGATACTTGATCGAAAAATCAAAATAATGATCCTTGAACCAAACAAAGTAACCGAAATAGTCCGCATTGTCAAACTGGAATGGCAGTGCGCAGGGCACATAACATGTAGAGCTGATGGCTGTTACGGTAGAAAAGTTTCAAGTGGCGACCACCGTCTGGAAAACGTAGTGTAAGCAGGCGATCCACTAGGTGGACCGACGATGTGGTGAAGATTGCGTAAAGAATCTGGATGCGGACAGCTCAGGACCGGTCGTTGTAAAAGTGCTTAGAGGATGCCTTTGTAAAGCAGTGGATGTCATTTGGCTCAAACGAATGATTCTTGAATATAATTCTCCAGCAGATTCACCAGTCATGCAGGTAATATCTAATTAACTGTCTAAGGACTGTATGAACTGACTACAAATTTCACAAGTAACGACCATGGGTAGGAGGATGGATAACGAAGAGACAATACCATAACGAGTATACTTTATCCGGCATGTCATTTGTCATATTTGATTTATTTACAAAAGACAAATTAGCATTTGGCAGAACCAGAATCTCAGCAAATTAAAGAAGCCTTTTTTAACATTGCTATTTCAAGGCAAAGCATGCAAATTAAAAATACGTTCCAATACCTATGAGTCACACTTAACCGAGGCGTAGCTAAAAGATTTGCTATTAATAGACAAATAATTGACTTGCAAATAAACCTTTAACTGACCTCGGAGTATGATCTTTATATTCAGCGTGCTGTCAAACATTGCGAAAGCTTCAATTATCTAAATCCTTCACATTTCAAGTATCGAGTGTACTCGGTCGGCGTATACAGGTTGAGATGAATGCGACGATTAAGTTGAGCAAGTCGGTACAACCTTGATTGGTGAGGCGTCGATGGCGATGCGACAATAGTACGATTGAATTCCAAGCTTTTGGTACAATTTGTACATCGAAAGGTTTTACGATTCACTGAATCTGGTTAGTAGTTTATAGAAAAACTAGCTTTCCGCCCGCGGCTTCGCACGCCTGGTATTTTGTCTGTTACAGAAAAACTTTATCGCGCGCGTCCCTGTTTTAAAAACCGAGATAAAAACAATCTTATGTCGTTTCCCGGAACTCAAACTATCTCTATGCTAAATTTCATCAAAATCAGTTTAGTATTTTAGGCGTGAAAGCAAGATAGACAGACAGACAGAGTTACTTTCACATTTATAATATTAAGTATAGATTAGTATAGAATGAGGAAGTATGGTCAAAAAATCTTATATTCGTATATTGTTCGGTAGCGAAGTTGGGAAGAGTAGGATAAAACCTCCATTTGCCTCACTAAATTAAAAATACTCTTGAATTAGAGACTGATTGACCATGATGACTAAAAGAATAAATGATGATGATCTTTGCAAAGAGCTTGCGTAATAGAGGTTTATTAAGATTAATTATTTAGTGAAATGAAGTTGGTATGATTTTGAAATTGGTAGAAATAATTATCCTAGGCTCAATTTACAGGTGGGAAAAATTTAATTCGAGTGATTTGTCCCCAATTTAGTAAGGGCATTGTTTACAGTGTTTAATAAGATAGTGACGACATAAACAAAAGATCTATTCTGATCCTGTAAATCTTCATAACTCAAAGGTGACTGACTCACTGACTGACAGACATAGTGATCTATCAACGCACAGCCCAAACCACTGGACGGATCAGGCTGAAAGGCATGCAGGTAGATGTTATGACGTAGGCATCCGCTAAGAAAGTATTTTACGAAACTCCACCCCTAAGGGGGTAAAACGGGATCCACGCGTACGAAGTCGCGGGCGGCCGCTATTAGTCTTAAAATATAACTTGCACTTTTAATTTTACCAGTACCTATAATAAATAATCTAGAAGATCTTAGCGTAAGCTTTTGTGATCTATTCATCAAGATTTTGATTACTATTCCCACTCAGTCATGATTAACGATAAGGAAATATCTTTAATAGTACCTATTTTATTAGTAATCACGTGGCCGTGAACAATAAAAAACTATTAAATTCACGCCTTAAACCACAGACAGCAATCAAATATTTAATAGGATACCTAAGTTTTAATTGAAGATAATAACCTCCTACTAACAACACTAAATATGAGTCTGAGTATTTACTAAATGAAGGTGATATTATGTATGATTAAAATTTTAAATTATGATTGATAAAATGTTTATGGCAAAATTTTTAGATTCGATTCAAATTCAACTATGATATTTTGTAACAAAAATGTGGAGTCCTCGCAGACTACAGATTTTTTTTGCCAGATAATACCTACATGTAAGAAACTTTGCCCGTTACCCCGATTTTGTTCGGACGATTCCTCATTACCTACCTAGTAATTAGAAGCAGAAGAAACTATCGGCTGACAAAAAGTCTATAGTCTACAGGGACTCGTATAATCTGATTTACTGTCGACTGATCTAAGGTCTATATAAGATTGAGGATAAAATTGTACTACATTTAATTCCGGAATTAAATTAAATAAACCTTGAACCTATAACAACAAAAACTACTCCCAAGCTCATCAATAAAAACATGTGAAATATACACACGCACTGATGATGGTCATCACAATGTATTCGATAAAAAACATTAACATCCTTTTCGCAATATGCTTATGAATATGAAAATGTAAAAAAAAGTTGCTGTACAGTTTTAAAGCTCCGTACAAAAATACATACAGACGAACTTCTATTTTCTTAATTGAAAAAAAAAATGAAAATGAAAGAATATTTATTCAGTATCTTTAAAGATTACATTTTGTTTCAAGTGGCAATACCTGTGTTAGGAGGCACCGCTCTTTAAAATCTGTTAAAAATGGACTGAATCATGTAATGTATTCCACCAAAAACATTGTCATGTTTACTGTCAACTATCTTCAAGAAAAAGGCTGCAATAACTTTAAAAAAAAATAAAACCGACTTCAAATGCGTGAACACAAAAAAAAACTAAAAATTAAAAATATTGCGTATAAAAAAGTTCATCCCCAATTTTCCACCCTTGGGGGTTGTTTTTTCTATTATTAAATTTAAATGGGACCACCCTTGAGGTATTACCTATACGCCGAAAAAAGATTTGTTCAAATCGGTTCATAATTGGCGGAGTTATCGCGTAACAAACATAGAAAAAAAAAAAAAAAAAACATACGGGTCGAATTGAGAACCTCCTCCTTTTTTGAAGTCGGTTGAAAACTTCTTTAAAAGATAAAGGATCTCTAAAACGAGTAACAGCAAAAATGTGTTAATTTATTACAACAGAGCGGATTCTTTTTGTTTTAATTAGTCTCAAGATGAGCCGGTGATGTCACTAAAAGATAAATATTAAGCTGTGTAGTAATATTGCAATTTAAAGTTTTTTTAGAACCTAAACTTGAAAAAGTTTTGTTACCCCCTGTAAGATTTATTCTTGCAATAATAGCTTTTTTGCCCGTTTTCACTATCAATCCCTAATTTTGAAGTGTAAACAAAATTTATGTTATGTTTTACCATAGCGGTCACTTAAAACGGGCATTAAACCCTTCATTTAGGTGTGGAATTAGTTCAATGGTATAAGCGTGGAATATACAGTAAAGACAAACAAAGTGCCTCTTAGTATATTTACTTACCCATAATAACTGCTACGACCACCGCCAAAACAAAGTCTTTCCTGCTAGTTCCCATGTTGGTGATTCTGAAACAAAAATAACAAATATTTTAACATATTTTTTGGCTCTAACAGGTTTGAACTTAAAACTCAACCCTCATTATGGAGGTGCTACTCCCAAAAGTCCGGTCCCTGATTCTATCAATATCTGTCTCATGCCTGCAGTAATAACTGAGAGAGATAGAGAATAGAAATATTCTAAAATTTGGACAAAATATGTCGTAGAGCTGTCCACTAATACCAGATAGATTAAAAAAAAACAATCACATAAAAAAACCAGGACAAGCAAAAAAGTCCTTCTAGTTCAAGCAAATTCAAATTAAGAACGCCATTTTTTTAATTTTTATATTATTTTAAAGTAAATTCAGTCAGTGTTTTTTGTATTCTGCTAGACATACAGACTAGATTTTTTAAATCTTTAGTAATTAGAACAAACATAACACAGATTACAACTCGTTGTTATACAACATAGCAATTAGTGATATCATAGCAAATTGACGAAACTTTGAATAAAATCGGGGACATCGATAAATATTAACTAAGAACTAATATTATACGACTTGGATTAGATAATATAGGAAATATGTGTGATGTCTATGATTACCTAAATAGCATAATAATAATAATATGCATATTTTAGCAAGCAAAGCCTATATACCGGTTTTTTGTCAACTTCGTTAGTTAACGATAAGAAGTAATCTTACTCCTATGAAGTTATAAGCCTTGTGGCCGTTTTTACCATCAATTCCTAATTTTTAAGTGACCCCTATGAAAACAAAACTCCTGTTAATTGTTACCAGGGGCCACTTAAAAATTATGGATTTTTGGTGAGAAAGGGGCATTAGTGTGCTATTTCATAAATATTATGCTGAAGAACAATATTGAATTGAATGAAAGTGTTAATGCTAAGTACTTATTGAAGTCATTGCAAATACTATGCGTAGTGACTGGTGCATGCAATTTTACTACAGGAGTTAGGAACTTTATTTCAACTATTGTGTCAAGTCAAGGCTTAAAGATTTTTCATTCTATTTTATGATGTGATACGAGTTACTCTAAAACTTGTTTGTAGAGTGACCTAGGTACCATCATTGGTATACCTTACACATCTTCTAAAATATAAAAGGAGAAACTGACTGACTGACATATCAACGCACAGCCTAAACGGCTAAACGTAGGCACTTGAAATTTGGAAGGGACGTAGCTTAGGTAAGTACCGTAGAGGTGCACTAAGAAAGGAATTCCCGGAATTCCCACGGGAACGGGAATTAGCGGGAAAATCCTTTTGTATGAAAAATCTAAACAGCGGAAGATAGATGAAGGGGGTAAAACGGGATCCACGCGTACGAAGTCGTGTATTTTTAAAAAATGGTCTCTATGGTGCACCTAGAGGCGTCTTGTCTGTGTCTTTCATATATTTGAAACTTAATACGTATCCAGAGATTTTTCCACGTATTTATTTAACCCTCTTAAAAACTGGCACACGAAACTGGTCTGAGTGTTCTCTCAAAATAATGTTAAAGTCATTAAGAAACAACTTTTAACGAGAAATTAAGGCTTTATCATTAGATTGTTGCGCTAAAAAATTCGGTAAAACATTTCAGTTTCGATAAGAATGTTACAAAGAGCTTAAAAAGTTCAGTGACCTAATTTTAAAAGTAGGTATCATTATTTATCTGTTACGTAGACACTGGCTGTAAATAAATTTCATTTTTTATTTGAAATAATTTACAAAACAAATGACGATCCGACGACCTCATAAAGGTAGCAGGAAGGCGCTGGATGCAGGCCGCTACCAACCGGGCGATGTGGAAATCATTGGGGGAGGCCTATGTTCAGCAGTGGACGTCCTATGGCTGAAGTGATTATGATGATCTAATGAACGGACGATAGCATATCAAGGTAAATAATGTGTTAGGAGCAATTTTGCAATAATGATAGATCGCCCGGAGTCCTGCCAGCAGGACTTAAAGTACTTCCGGTAGGACGCAAAATTAAAAGATCACAGTTTCGTAAGTATACATTGTACAAATTTCAAATTTACACGAAAAAATAGAGTGTTTCTCTCTCTTTCACCCAATAGTGCCCAAGATCGAAAAACGCGACTAACCGTTAGTCGGAGCCCGATGGCGCACGAGTATACACGGGGGCAGCGCGTTCGCGCTCGCGCGACACATTTTGACGCGCCGGGCGTGGAGTCGGCAACATTTTGGCGATAATATTATAATGAATGTGAAGTATTCCAGCCTAATCAAACATTTATAATTTATTTCTTGTTTTTGTTTTTAATTTGTAGTGTATTTGTAAGTGATAGGTGTAATTTCTAATACAAAGTGACGTACCAAAGTAATTAATTTAAAGTTCCTTATTATAGTTCCTATTAGTTAAGTTGAAAGAAGATAAACAAGTTTATAATATATTAAGAAAAGTAAAATACTGGTTAAACAAAATGATTCTACGACATGACTTTTTATTTAATAAACACTAACCAAGTGTTTACTACTTCTGGTGAGGATGAGTTCAAATTTGAAGGTCACCGTACTGCTGGAAGGACCAGCAAGCAAACACGTACAAATTGCGTACTGCGGGCAGGACTTGCGATAATCTTCTGGCAGGACGTTTAGAACAAAAGACCAGTCCTTCCAGAAGAGCTTCCAGCAGGACAAAGCACCGGGCGATCTATCAATAAAATGCATCAGTCTGATATGATGAGGTTTTTTCTTAATCTAAATCTGACAAACGTTTTACTTTTGTAAACCTATTGTAAGTTTGTTTAAAAGGTTCAACTATTTGTATAAGGATCTCTAATGGTAAACAACATGATTAAGATGCAGTCTGTCATTCACAAACACGTTGAATGACCTCAGAATGGCAGACGTATTCTGAATGTTTGTCAACGTTAGCATAATTTAGGCCAAGACGTAACAAAATAAATATTGAACTGCACAAATGAAATCAGTTTTATCTTGGAAACAACATTAAAATCAGGGTGTCAAACTGCTGTAGGTGTCTGGTGTTGTAAAAAAATATTTTTCGTTAATTTCTGTAACACATTTGTTTGAAATTCCTAAAAAAACCCTCCTAAGCATAATCATTGGTTTTTCGGACTATTTAATTGATTCAATACTTTCAATACTTATAAAAGTTAATTATTAACGTGGAATTAGAATCCTACATACAAATCTAACGTCCAACTCCACCTGTAGAGCCGTTTCTATAACTAGTGATTCCTAGTTGTTTCAAAACTACAATTCTTACTCATATTTCCGAAATTAGGTGCACATCTTTGGCTTTGAATAATTCAATGTCGAAATTATTAACACTGTCCTGAAAACTATACGACCTTTTGTTACTCACAATAGAATCTGGGTCGGAACAACTCACGAAACAACTATAAAAATATTGCAAAAAGATTATTGTGTAATAATTTTTAATGTGCGATCAAACTAAAGCACTTATTTGCGTTAAAAGTATAGTAACTAGAGTAGGTCCGTATTTTTCATAATTTTTAGGTAATACAAATTACTTATATTCCCGTCAACCCCTTCAGAGTGAGAGGTAAGTAAATGTAATGATTTGTAAATAGTGAGTTCACCACATTAAAAAAATAAAAATAACAATTCCGCGGTATTCCATTTTAGGATATTGGCCAGAAACCCTGAAAACGCGGTAGAAATTGTAAAAAAAACTATTCGAAATTTTTTTTTAATAAAAACAATATCGCATCGACATTAAGTCATTTTCCTGAATATGGCCGCGCGTCACATCGCTCGAATGTGTGTCAATGACGTTATTTACCATGAGTGCCCAACCGTAATCAGCTGATCGGCGCGTGCGCCGTCAAATGTGTGACATTGCGGTAATGATGGTGATGTAACTTCATTCATGGTGAGTGATGAATTTTGATAGGCAAATAAGTATGGAATATTCTCAACTACTTAGGTATATTGCCTTAGAATATAATGGTGTAATTTTACTTTTAAACGACAGATTTAATTTTGCGATAGCCTCACGGACCAAACAAGGTTTTCGTCGAAAAGGACTGAAATTTGATAGTTATTTGGATAAAAAAAACTTGGCCAAATGACTAAGGAACCAAATCTTCCTAAATTATTACAAAAAAAAATATTTGTCTATATTGTCTGCAACTGTAGACAATGCCTTTATTTTAGAAACTGATTTGATCAAGTAGGTTCTACTATTTTGCTTGTTCTACATACTTTATTAAAAACATCCAACATACAGTGTCTGCGTAAACGTAATTATAGTACAATACAGTTCACAATTATACTATAAAACACGAGCTCAACTTTCGGTCTGAGAGACCGTGCGCGGGTATATGTGTAATGCTTTTTGGCGCGGGTATACGAAGGTTAAGTAGATAGCTCAATATAACGAGTCATTGAGCGCTGCCGCACACTATGCCGCCAGTAGCCGCCACAATACCTACCATAGAGCAGTGATGACCAAGAGATCGACCGCGAAGACGATTTTGGTAGCCCGCGAGAGTTAAATAAACTGAAATTATTTTAAAATGTACTATTCGCGCCAAGAACACTGACCATCTATCTACCTATAAATATAGGTACTCACACGCTTCAGACGGTCGTAACGTGGTAGTATTGTTGCTGGCGAAATGTTTTATTTCTCTCTTCTTGCAGTCGACCGCAAGAAATATTTTCGAGCATGTAGACCTCACAGGTCAAAAGCTTGGCCACCCCTGCCATAGAGGTTAAGCTAAGGCATTAGTAGTTTCGGGGCTACTCCTTGCAACGTTAAACGAAAAACGCAGCCGATAAGTGGATGTATGCCAAGTCCTCCATTTACTGCTAGTAAATAGAAAGGGTCGTCCTTTTGAGACTAACTGACTTTATAATGGCAACTATGATAATAAATAAATAAATATCCTTGGACATTTTACACTTTGCCTCTAGTCCCAAACTAAGCGAAGCTTGTACTATGGGTACTAGACGATGGATATAAACATACCTACTTAAATATTTTTTTTATAAATACTGATGGTATCATTACAAGTAAG